AATTAAAAAATGAAAATAATTTTTTTTCATTTTTTTAAAAATATTTTATTTATAGGTTAAAAATTTAGACCTAGTTATAAAAATTTATTAAATAACGAATTCAACTCAATTCACTCAAATTATTTATTCAAAATTTTATTTTTAATTAAAGTAACATGTTATATTTATTTATTTTTAAATATTAAATTAAGATTTACTAAAATACATTATAAAGAACAATTTAAGAGTAATTAAAAAAATAAATAGTTATGAAATGGAATAAAATTAAAATAAATATATGTAGATGTATAAAAAAAACATTTAAAAGAAAGAATAAATTTGGATTAATTGGGTTAATTAAAACTAATTTTAGGAAATTAAAAAAAAAAAAAAAAAAGACAGAGAATATTGGTCGGAACCTGAAACGGCTTTTTCTTCCTCCGCCGGGAAGTGGCCACATAATCGGAGATTAAATCCGACACGGAGTCGAAAATCCCCATTGTTTTTCTCTCTCTAAGCCTGTGTTTATTTGGAGAGAAGAAGAGAGAGAACAGGAGAGGTCTAGAGAGAGAAGGTTTGAAGAAATGGTTATAAGTGCAAAGTTTAGAGGAAGGAGGGGTATATATATATATATATATATATATATATATATAGAATCTTTTTGTTAGACGAACACGACTCTCCACAATAGTATAATATTGTTCACTTCAAGCATAAGTTCTCATGGCTTTGTTTTGGACTTTTCAAAAGACCTCATACCAATGAAGTTAGTATTCCTTACTTATAAACCCATATTCATTCTCTAAATTAGCCGACGTGGGACTTTCATCATCAAACACTTTTTAGAGAAAAGAAGGAATTAAAATGGCTTTAACATAGACACCGAAAATGAACTGTGTCCTCAAATAATGTTAAATAATAATAATAAATTAATGTTGATTAAGAGAGAGAAAATCCAATTTTTAAATTATATATTTATTTATTTATTTTTGATAAATTATAAAAAAAAATCATTTGGAACATTTATTTGAAACAATTTTTTTTAAAAAATGATTTTTAGGAGTTTAATTTGGGATATTTGTGCATATAGTAAAATGACTAAAATACCCTTACCTTTCATCCTCATTACTGTCCCTTGTTATTATCGGAGACCATTGTGATCGTTTACCATCTATCGACTGCCTCCGACGACTACAACCACTGCTCATCACCCATAATTGGGCAATCACCGTTGCTCGCCTCCGATTATCGCTCTTGCAACCTCCTCATGCCATTATTATGATGACCTTCTGTGATTGATGGTAGCTAAATTATTCCAGGATTAAAAAAATTATTCCGTAAAATTGTCACAATATTTCCAATAGTTGTGATAAAAAAACATATTATAAAATTATTTTTGTGTTGTGGTTGATAGTTTTTCATCGAGAATGTAACTCAATTGTAAAATCGTAACACTGATACAATACGTAACAGGTCAAAACGGACAATATTTGCAACAATTTTTTTAAAAAAATAAAAATGTATTTTCAAAAAATAAAACACATTGAATTTATAATTTAATAAACAAAAAATTAGTTGGTTTGAATTGAATTGATTCCATACTTTTGGGAATTTTATAAATAAAATAAATAAATAAAATTTACAAAAAGGGTATTCCTTTATCTTTACAAACTATGGAGTTGATGCCATCCCTTACACAAATGAATTGGGTTTCTTTCCCTTTTAGAAAGGTAATTTAAAGTAAAGGAGTTCAAATTCTTTTATAAGTGGAGCCTAAGAACCAACCCGAGGTGGAAGCATCAGTCTAGGTAGGATCTCGGGTTTTCCACCTCGGGTACCATGAAATAGTGACTCGTCCTGTTATCACATATGCAATTGTGAGATCCCATGTTGGTTGAAGAGGGGAACGAAACATTTCTTATAACGGTATAGAAACCTCTAATTAACAGACGTGTTTCAAAATCGTGAGGCTGACGGCAAAACCTAACGAGTCAAAGCACACAATATTTGTTAGCAGTGAGCTTGAGCTGTTACAAATTGTATTAGAGTCAATCACCGGTTAAAATAGGGCTAGACCCTCTCCATAGTAGACACACTTTAAAATTGTGAGGTTGACCATCATACGTAACGGGCCACGTGGACAATATCTGCTAGCAGTGAACTTGGGCTATTACAATTAGTATCAGAACCAAACACCAGATGGTATTCCAGCGAGGACGCTGGTCCCAAAGAGGTGGATTGTGAGATCCCATATCAGTTATAGAAGGAAATGAAACATTTCTTATAAGAGCTTGAAAACCTCTTCCTGTCAAATAAGTTTTAAAATGGACAATATTTGTTAGCCGTGGACTTGGATATTATTTCCTTATAAGGGCGTGAAAACCTCTTCCTACCAAAGAAGTTTTAAAATAGACAATATTTGTTAGCGGTAGACTTGGATATTATAAGTATTGACTTAAATATCAAAGCGTATAACACATAACAGACACCGATATTAGCTTCTTCCTTGCAAGTTAGCTTGACGCCTTGACTCATTGCCTTGGTCAAGAACTAACACGGACGGGCAACCGGATGAAGAAGTGTAGTCACTTAGTTTTCTTTTTACATCTCGAACTTGCTTTAAATTATACGTTAAAATTGATGCAAATTTCAGAATATCGTTGAGTCGATCGGTAGAAAAAAAAGGAGAAAGAATCTAATGTTGAGAAAAAAATAATAACAACTACCAAATAAATATTGAACTTTTCTTTTCTAAAAGTACAAAATAAAAAACAAAAATGGTCTCGATCTTTGGTCGAAAACGATAAACTTTATAATTTAGTCCCTATAATTTTTTAAAATTATAATTTAAGACGAGGATCGTAACATTTTTAAGGATTTATTAAATTATAAAGACATAATTGTAATTTTTAAAAGTTGAGGGACCTAACTCTTATATTTTTTTAAAAAATATTAATAGGACAAAATTTATAATTTCAAATGTTTTTTTTTTTAAGCTAAAAAAAGGCACCTTTTGTTTTCTTGGCCTTGGCTGTAAAACAAAGCTTCTTTCAAGCAGTTTCTTAAAACAATGATTTGAGAATAATTTTTATATTTAGACGAGTCTTTCAAATTAAGTATCGTTCATCGTGTGACATCTGAGTAAAGGTATAGGATTCCACGTCGGTTAGAGAGAATAACGAAACATTTCTTATAAGGGTGTGAAAATTTCTCCCTAATAGACACGTTTTAAAATTGTGAAGTTGACGGCGATATGTAACGGGCTAAAACAGACAATATATTGTTAGTTTTGGGCATTTGGGCGGTGTTCTAACAAGGACGCTGGCTCCTGTAGGAGGTGGATTGTGAGATCCCACATTAGTTGAAAAGGGGAACGAAACATTTTTTTTTTATAAGAGTGTGGAAACCTCTCACTAGCATACGTGTCTTAAAACCTTGAGAGGAAGCCTAGAGTCAGTTACCAGACGATGCGAGGCTCTGGTCAATGTAGAGCCCTTTTCATAATAGACGCGTTTTAAAACCGTGACGCCGATGGTGATATGTAACGAGCCAAAACGGACAATATCTACTAGCGGTGGGCTTTGAAGTGTTACACATGGGTAGTTACACATCACCTTGAGAGGAAGCCTAGAGTCTGTCACTAGACGATGCGAGGCACTAGTCAGTGTAAGGCTAGACCTTTTTCATAATAGACGCGTTTTAATACCGTGAAGCCGATGGTGATATGTAACGAGCCAAAATGGACAATATCTACTAGCGGTGGGCTTGAACTGTTACACATGGGTAGTTACACATCACCTTGAGAGGAAGCCTAGAGTCAGTCACTAGACGATGCGAGGCACTAGTCAGTGTAAGGCTAGACCTTTTTCATAATAGACGCGTTTTAATACCGTGAAGCCGATGATGATATGTAACGAGCCAAAACGGACAATATCTACTAGCGGTGGGCTTGAACTGTTACACATAAATTGTTACCCATCATCTTTTGATAAAGTTAGTAAACAATGCAGATTAATGAGAAATAAACAAGGATGTTGATTCTCATCTTGTCGTACTAAATCGATCTCGTACCTTTTTTTATCGTATAATTTAAAATTAATTTTTATTTTTATTTTTAAAAATTTTGAATAATAATTATAATAATTATTTTATTATTGGCAACATCAAAAGAAAAAAATGAATGGGTTGATTTTAGTCTCCATTCCACATTATATGATCTATATTTAAACATCAATCATTGTCTATTTCAAGTCTTAATATTGAAGCTAACACATAGATTCCCATAATTATTTTTATTAAATTAAATAATAATAATTTAACAAATTCGTACGATGATGTTTTACACTCATAAGAACTGGTCGAGTTGAGTTGTCGGATTATTCAATTTTTTAATTATTAAAAAAATTATACTCAAATTTTGTAAAACTCAAATATTAAAATATTCACGAGTTACGACTCATCGCTAACATATGTTATAAATGTCAAATATTCTTAATTTTATAAATGAAATTAATTACCTTACTTTTCAAAAATATTTAAAAATATCTTTTTAATTTTAAAAAGTTCAATTAATACATTAAATGTCAGTACTATATTTAAAAAAATGATATTAAAATTATTACTAATATCTTATAGATTATTTCCAAACTTTTACGGTTAATTTTTTTTTTTTAAAAATAAAAGTATTAATGAAATTTTGAAAGTTTAAAAGTATTTTTTAAAATTTTAAATATTTTTTAAAATATTGTGAAAATTAAAAGGTATTTTTATTAATTTAGTAAAAATAAAAAACTTAAAAATGAATTAAAAAATTATCTAGTTTTTTTTTACCGCTTTGAACGGGTAAGATGATAATTTTGAATTTGTAAAATTTTGGCTATATTAACGTTACTTTGACTTTTTTTTTTCTTTTTTTTTTTTTTTTGTAGGTTTATGATTACTTTTTTAATAAATAAATAAATTAAGTAAATACATAAATTCCCTCATTTTTAACCACTTTGAACGGGTAAGATGGTAATTTCAACTATGCTTCCGTTCCTGCGTGAGTGAGTTTTTCTTACACTTACAAAAAATACACCCATCGTGATCTTCTACGTCCGTTACGATCGTCCATTGCGAGAATCCGGCCATTTCCGTCTGATAAACGACGACAGTGTCGGAGTTTCCGTCTCTTACGGGGATCGTACGGCAGTGTAAAGTGCGGAGGTGCACTGCTCATCTCTGTCGGAGGGGAACCAGGAGGTATATACTATGGTGAAATTTGACCGGGAAAGAGTGGGCCAGGCGATCATGAGCATTGGCGGGAACGGTGTTGGCCAAGTTTTGGTTGCTGTGGCGGCGGCTCTTCTTGTCCGTATTTTCTCCGCACCAGAACCTGCTCTTCTGTTGGAGCACGATATCGAGCTCGAGGATTGGGAGAAGGTAGATGGAGACATTGAAGTTGGTGAAGAATCTCCTGCCTCCAGGAAAGTCAGTCCAGTGACAATCCGGTGGCGCAACATCACGTGCTCTCTATCTGATAAATCCTCCAAATCAGTAATTTTCTTGGCGTTTTCTTCATTCTTTAAGTCCATTTGTGTTCTCGAAAATGCAGTAGAGTATGAGGATAGTGAATATGGCGTTTCTCTTTGTTTTTCACCGTTAGGATTTCAGTTTTTAGGGAAAGAAATCGAAAGCAAATGTTATGATTTGCGATTCTTATAAGTTCGTTGGCCGATCTCTGCTTTCGATTGGCTAATCAGTTGCCTAGAGTGACTTGAATTACAGCTATATTCAATTTGTTGGATGAAAAGAAAAGCCCCACAGGCTAATTTCCTGTTTAGGAAATGATCATGGGTTTATAATCTAGGAATATTTTCTCCATTGGTGTGAGGCCTTTTGGAGAATCCTAAAGCAAAGCCATGAGAGCTTATGCTCAAAGTGGACAATATCATACCACTGTGGAGAGTCATGTTCGTGTAACATGGTATAGATCCATGCCCTAAACTTAGCCATGTCAATAGAATCCTAAAATGTCGAACAAAGGAATCCCAAAGGAGGCTCCTGAAGGCATAGTAAAAAATGACTAAGATTTGAAAAGGAAAGAAGTTGGGCCTCGATTAAGGGAAGACTTACGAAGGCATAGTAAAAAATGACTAAGATTCCAAAAAGAAAGGAGTTGAACCTCGATTAAGGGAAGATGTACTTTGTTCGAGGGGAGGTGTTGGATGAAAAGAAAGTCCCACATCGGCTAATTTAGGAAATGATCATGGGTTTATAATCTAGTAATACTATCTCTATTGGTGTGGGGAAATCCAAAGCAAAGCCATGAGAGCTTATGCTAAAAGTGGACAATATCATGCCATTGTGGAGAGTCGTGTTCGTCTAACACAATTTTGTGAAACTGGACCAATAATTTTCATGCTTTTAAAAGTAGAGCATGATCAATTACTGATAGAAGAAACTATTGGTAGGTGAGATTTCTGCTTAAGAATGTAAGCGGAGAAGCAAAACCAGGAAGATTATTAGCGATAGTGGGACCGTCAGGTTCAGGAAAAACAACGTTGCTCAATATTTTGGCCGGCCAGCTAGCGGCTTCTCCACGGTTACATCTCACTGGCATTATAGATTACAATGGAAACGCTTATTCAAATAAGAGAGCTTACAAGTATGTTCTCTTGTAAATAAAACATTCTACAACATTATGCTTAGAAGACTGCTTCATTATTATCTATATTGTAGGTTCGCTTATGTGAGACAGGAGGACCTCTTTTTCTCACAGCTAACTGTCCGAGAGACACTGAAGCTTGCTGCTGAGCTTCAGCTTACTAAGATACCTTCCGAAGAAGAGAAGGAAGAATATGTGAACAATCTGCTCTTGAAACTAGGTTTGGTAAGATTGATGATCGAAGTTTGTTCTTCTAAGATAGCTGAAATAAGTTCTTCATATGTTGTGGATGTATTATACATTTTGAATTTGATTTACCTTAATTGACCAGTGCCATATGTTCATAGCTAGCTCCTTGGATCTTAGCAAACAATGATTAATAAATTTATTGGCTGAAATTCTTAACAAGAGATTTCTTTGCTCATTATAGTATTATTAACTGGTTGAATAATGAGGGTCTTAGCCTCTTCTGACTCACTGCAACGTGCTTTGATCTATCGTAGCTTAAGCATGTTCATGCTAATTTTATATTTTTTCTTGAAAAAGGTAAATTGTGCTGAATCATTTGTTGGTGATACAAGAATTCGTGGAATCAGTGGGGGTGAAAAGAAACGATTGTCTCTAGGATGTGAGCTGATTGCCAGCCCATCTATTATATTTGTTGATGAACCTACAACAGGTTTGTATCTCTTTTCTGTTTATGTCTTCACTCCCTTGTGGAGTTTGTATCCTTTGAGAATTAGTGTCCTTTTACTTTTTTCAATGAAAAGTTTTTTTTTTTTTTTTTTTTTTTTTTTTTTTTTTTTGTTAATTCGGTTGCCATGTACTTTTGGAAAGTTATCTGTCTACATGTTTTTAGCTTCACCATTTTATATAAGTGAAGCCTTTAAGACTGAATCCAATCTTTGATACTATAAAATCAAATGCAACTTCCATGATTTCACACCCTAGCGTTGTGGAATTTAGCTAGGGATTCAAATCCTTCTATCTGATTCTTTGTAATGACCAAGTTTCTAGCTTATAGAAATTCATCACATTTTTAACCTTTTTTTTAGTCATGTGCCAACATGAATGATAAGGTTCACTAGTGAGTGTTGATCAAAACACTGATAACTATAATGTACAATGTCTTATAAATAAAATTATAAACATGGGACTTCCAGGACTTGATGCATTCCAGGCTGAAAAAGTAGTCCTGACGCTTCAACAACTTGCAAAGGATGGACATACTGTGATCTGCTCCATACATCAACCTAGAGGCTCTGTGTATACCAAATTTGATGATATTATATTGCTGACAGAGGGTGCTCTTGTCTATGCTGGTCCTGCTCATGAGGAACCTGTGGAATACTTCTCTAAATTTGGGTCGTGAGCTCTATCCATACTTTCAACAAATGTGTTTTCATTTGAGCATTTTCCTTGTTTTCAACATATTCCTCATCATCGTTCAGCATTTTTTTTTTTGTTTTGACATTTTAGGTACATGCCTCTTGATGAACTGTGACAATGGCTTCTGATTTTTTTGTTCTATTATTAAACTTTGAAATCTTTTTAACTCTATTTTCACATACGAGATTTTTAAAGCTTACTTTTTCTTTTTTATTTGTTCCGCATGTACTGATCAATATTATATTCAATCTTGTTAGCGCTTTGCCTTCTTCTTCCTGTTCATTTGTTTTGTTTTGAATCTTTATGAACTAAAGAAATTGAGTTCTTCCGTGCATGCCTTTCAATGTTTTCTTTGATCTTGTTGTTCTTCTTCTTTCAAAAATAAATAATCTCAGTAAGCTCAATTGGACTCCAGATATTGTAACTCACTATTTGCTGTTTAGTCGAACAGGTATAGTTGTCCTGACCATGTTAATCCTGCTGAGTTTCTGGCCGATCTTATATCAATTGACTATAGTTCTCCAGAAAGTGTGTCCTCCTCCCAGAAGAGGATCTACGGTTTTGTTGAGTCATTCTCACGACACTCTTCGACAATTTTGTATGCAACTTCAAGTGACAAAAGGCAGATTTCGGCAGGTATGAAATTCAGGGAAAATAAGCTTTTGAAGAGAGGAGGCTGGTGGAGGCAATTCTGCTTGCTCCTCAAGCGTGCATGGATGCAGGTTTTTCCTTTCTATATATGTAGCTTGCTTTAAAGTTCTAAATTGTTCTCGTTCAGTAAAAAATTAGAAACAAAAGCTACAAGAGGGAAAATGACAGCCTGCGAAGGTTTTGATAATATAACAATGACCTGTGAATTTTATTTTTATTTTGATGCAATCTTCAGTTTTTTAAAAAACATAGATATAAGCTGTCAAGTCCTCATCTCCCGTTGTTTGCATCTCACAGACATTGTGGAGAGAGATACCTATTGGTCAAAAGTGGAATGCTGAAAGCGTTAGGCTATTGTGTGAATAACAATTCTTTTAGTTATTTACTTGGTTGAATCTTTTAATGAATTTCCAGGCTTCTCGGGATGGACCGACAAATAAGGTTCGAGCACGAATGTCCATTGCATCAGCGATCATATTTGGTTCAGTTTTTTGGAGAATTGAAAGATCTCAGACATCAATCCAGGATAGGATGGGTTTACTTCAGGTATAGCAGTATCTTTGTTGGAGTCATTCAAACATTATGGTTACATTGCTATATTGTATAATTATGATATTCCATTGCTGCTTTTCGTACCACAGTACCAACCAATATTATGCTTGCAATGATAATCAAAGTAGTTCCCCCACCCCTTCCCCTGCCTCAAGTTGCTAGAATTGAGAAGATTCCTAGACAAAAATAAAACTTGTACAATTTTCTTGATCCAATTTGTGGCTATGGATATGTTTCACTTCAGGTTGCAGCAATCAACACTGCAATGGCTGCTCTCACCAAAACTGTGGGTGTTTTTTCGAAAGAACGTGCAATTGTTGATAGGGAGCGTTCAAAGGGATCTTATACGTTAGGCCCATATTTGCTTTCTAAACTGTTGGCCGAGATCCCAATTGGAGCTGCTTTTCCACTGTTATTTGGGGTTATCTTATACCCCATGGCTCGTCTTCACTCAACTGCCTCAAGGTCAGGATTTGATCGTTACTTAAATTCGTAATTAACTTCAAAATCATACATTCGTTGCCACAAATAATGATTGAAACTTCTGCAATTATTATATAGGTTTGGGAAGTTCTGCAGTATCATCACTGTTGAATCTTTTGCCGCGTCTGCTATGGGTCTCACTGTAGGAGCTATGGCTCCTAGCCCAGAAGCCGCCATGGCAGTGGGGCCCTCACTTATGACAGTTTTTATTGTATTTGGTGGCTATTATGTCAATGCAGACAACACGCCGATCATCTTTCGTTGGATTCCTAGCGTTTCTCTCATAAGATGGTAAGTGCGTCGGATCCACTAAAAGATTTTGGATATCATGTTAAATTTCAAAATTATCTCTCCTTTAATTCTTATAACTTCAATGACATTTCATCTTTCAGGGCCTTTCAAGGGCTTTGCATCAATGAGTTTAAAGGTCTTCAATTTGATTGTCAGCATTCAATTGATATTCAAACTGGAGAACAGGTAGGCGAGAGCATGACTTTTATTATCTAAACTTGAGTATGAAAATCTTCACTATTGTGTAAGATGCTGAAACGATTGAGCATGATAGAGTCCATAAAAATTGTCTTTTCATTTCACGACTTATTTCCTCTTTGTAGTGATCTTCTGAGTTGCTCTGAAGATATCTTTATTAGTTTGTTATTTGGTCCTGTCGAGTAAGGAACTGAGTGGAGGAGGCTCGCGAAACCAAACAAGAATTGAAAGAACTTAGGAATTAGCACTATTCCTATTAAGTGTTTGTCTCAAAAAGTCGACAAAGAGGCTGCCCTCTCGATCGAGCTCGATTTTGGTTTAGCATCTTTCATCGATCCAGAGAAAATGTGGAAACATAATAAAACATGCTTCCATCCTAATGCCTACGCTTTGTAGATGAGGAGGCTTTTGAGACCAAACGAGACTCAAAATGTGAGATCTCACATTAGTTGGGAGGAGAACAAAACATTCTTTTATAAGAGTGTGGAAACCTCTCCCTAACAGATTTTTAAAAACCTTAAGGGAAGTCCAAAAGAAACGGGTAAAAGTCATGAGAATTAGCACCATTCCTATAAGTGCTTTTGTTTTGGAGTGCGGCTGTCTTCTCAATCAAGCTCATTTGGTTTAGCATATTATATTCATCTGGAAAAAAATGTGAATTGGTTGTAGTGTTGATTAAGGAGCCACATGTTTCCATCCTAATGCCTTGGCTTTTCTCTGATTGGTTGTAGAGCAGAAGGCTTTCGAGACCAAATAAGACTTGAAAGAACATGGAAATTAGCACCATTTCTATAAGTGTTTTTGTCTCGGAACCCCAACAAAGGGGCAGATTGGTTGTAGCGTGGATCGAGGAGCCACATCCTAATGCCTTGGCTTTTCTCTTATTTGCAGGCACTGGAACGACTTTCCTTTGGTCAAAGGCGTATTAGGAACACATTGATAGCACAAAGTAGGATACTTTTGTTCTGGTATTACACCACTTACCTTCTCCTGGAAAAAAATAAGCCCAAATACCAGCAGCTTGAGCCACTGCCCCTTGGTGAAAACCAAGATCAAGGTGATCGACAATTTGAATCGTTTAACAATGACAACATGGAGAAACCCCAGCCCGGGAATCTCCGACTCTCGAGCGAGTTGAGTCAAAGGGTGCCGAGTTTTAAATTCCTATAAGCGTTTTCTTGATTCATTTGGTTTAGCTTAGCTTTAGTTGGCTTCAAGCTTTTATGTATGTTTTATTTTGATCCTTATACTTTCAAACGCTTTTGGTGGTTTTTTATGATTTTGTAATGTTTTTAAGTCATAGGTTATAATAATCCGAGTAAGGTAACTATATATTTGGTAATGTTTTATGATCGTAGTTCGTTAAACTTTAGCTTATATTGATCAATCCCAAATTATAGATTATACAAACTCGAGCTTTTGTGACCTATTTTTTTGTAACATATTTCAAATAAACCTTAAAACCACGATTTAAAGTAACTAGAGGTGTTCGGTTCACGAGCTAAAGCAACTTGGTTGGATTCTGAAGTTGAGAATTTTTTAGTTATCAAAACTTGGGTCGATTCTCAACTTAGTTATCAAAACTTGGTTTGATTTTTTAGTTACGGAGTTAAAGCAACTTTGTTCTTCTCCCTGCCCAAGGTTTATATTGTGAGCAGTTGTTGTTACTCGATTGCTTGCTTATATGACATCTATTTCGAAAATCTCTCTCTACTCTCGTTTTCTAAAACCTTCTCTTAAATCGAGGCCAGAGGCTCGAGTATACGTCGCTTGGTTGTAGGCAGATGCAAGAACGAATTGGCTTAGCTCAGTTGTCGTTGGAAAGTGAGTGTCGCACAATCGCAAGTCCGTTGCCATCAAGAGTGCGATTGTGCCTTTTGCTTACATTCCCATATAACACCAATTTCAATTTCTCAAATCTTGTTTCAAAACTCTCTTTCAAAATCTTTCTGCCCCTCTTTCTAAAACTTTATTCTTGAACCGGGGCTAGAGGCTCGAGCATACGTCGCTTGATTGTAGGTTAGAGGCTCGAGCATACGTCGCTTTAAGCTTAACTCACTTGTTGAGAGGTGAGTGCTGCACAATCGCAAATCCACCAAGTGCGATTGTGACAGTCGCAGGTGATAATTGACAGTGGCAACGTGAAAATTTTGGAGAAATTTCTACGTAAATATTTAATAACATTTTTTTTCTCTAAATTTTGATTTTAAGTGTTTAAAATCAATGTGAGGATTTAAATAGTTTTTTAAAACAAAATAAACCCAATTGAGAATTAAAAAAATTATTTTAATATTTTATATATTATTTTTAATTTATTGTTTGAAGTAAATTTGACGCTCACAAACTATAAAGCTTTATTTCAATTCTCCTTTCTCCAAATAAAATTCATATTAATCACGTGAGTTTATTTATTTATTTATTTATTATTTTCCATTGTTGTGTTAATATTTATATATTATTTTAAAAAATGTGCGTAATCTGTTGGATGAATTAAGAACTTCGGCCAGGCTTGCCTTGCCATTCGATTCATTACTACCAACCTCGTTGGTAAGCTTCGTCTGCGATCTCTTGCTTCCCTCTGACATTCTCTCTCGCGCTCGCTACGTAAGTTCTTCTTCGCTTTGCCAATTCTCAGTTTCACAATTGGTTTTGATTTCTAGTTTTTCCTTGCTTCTGTTTTTATGTTGATTTTCTTGACGTGATGATTCATGTTAATTCGTTGAGTTTGTTTGTGTTTATCATTCATAATATCCTGTTCGATCTCAATTGTTTCCTTGTCGATTTTCTTACGATCTGTCTCGATTTCTTAGCAAATGTTAGTAGATTCAACATTGCGCGTTAGAATAATCGTCTTCTGATATCTCAAACAGGTTATCGTCATTTTTTAAAAAATGATTTTTGGTTGATTCCATATGCATTTTGCTAAACCTGTGTCCGAAAATCGAAATTTTCTCTAGGAAGAAAATTTTCAATGTATTGAGTGCCTGTGTTTTTGGACCTCTTGTTGTCCTGTTTGTAGAAAAAGAAACTTTCGTCCTTCCTGTTATGCCGGAAGAAAGGATGGGATACTTCAGATTACTTTATGAAACGGGCATCGAGTTTAGTGAAGAAGACCTACTTGCTGCAATTGTGCCGTTAATGAAGCTTCTCTGCCTCGCAGTAATTGGATTGATTCTTGCTCATCCAAAGACAAAAATCATCCCAAAAGAAACATTTAGCCTGCTTTGCAAACTTGTTTTTGCCTTGTTCTTGCCCTGCCTGATTTTTACTGAACTAGGCCAAAGTATTACGCTCGAAAGTTTGACTCAGTGGTGGTTTATCCCGGTAAATGTGCTACTCAGCACGGCTATCGGCTGTGCTCTTGGGTATTTAGTGGTTGCTCTATGTCATCCACCCCCTGAGTTTAATAGATTGACTCTTGTTATGACAGCATTTGGTAATACAGGAAACCTCGCTCTTGCAGTTGTGGGGTCAGTTTGCCACACTGCAGATAACCCTTTTGGACCAAATTGTCACTCTAGTGGGGTGACTTACGTCTCACTTGCTCAATGGGTTTCGGTGATTCTGGCCTATACCCTCGTTTATCACATGATGAAACCTCCACCGGAGTGCAATGTAGTTTTAGATGAAGGCATTGAAATTGAAGAAGAACGAGCTGATAATGATTTGGGCAGGCCTCTCCTTGCAGAAGCTGAATGGCCAAGCATTGAGGGCAAAGAAACAGAACATTCCGTGACATCCTTCATCCCTAGAATTCTCAATAGCATTTCAATTACACCGCAGACCACTTCTACTGATATCGAAAGCTCAGGAGGCGGCGATTGTACTGACAATCCCAAGCCTAATGATATCGAACTTGCAGGGGACAACAGGACTAACAGTCCCAAATCCACAGAGTTCTTGGCTGGGCCGAGAGTACTGAGGAGGCTGAGCCATCTTGCTGAGCAAACTCCAATACAGCACATCCTTCAACCCCCAACAATTTCTTTTCTAGCAGCCATCATTATTGGGCTAATTCCACCACTGAAATCACTCTTCTTTGACTATAATGCTCCATTATCAGTTGTCAAAGACAGTCTAGAAATTCTAGCCCGTGCTACCGTGCCTTCTGTTATGCTCATTCTTGGGGGCTTGCTTGCAGAATGCTCAAACACATCTACACTAGGCCATCGAACCACAATCGGTATAATCACAGCAAGGCTCTTGGTCCTCCCCGTGTTGGGAATTGGGATGGTCTTGTTGGCTGATAAACTGAATTTTCTTGTTTCTGGGGATCAAATGTACAGATTTGTGCTTCTGTTGCAATACACTACCCCAAGTGCTATTTTATTGGGAGCACTAGCCAGCTTGGGAGGATATGCAATTAGGGAAGTTTCTGCACTTCTCTTCTGGCAACATATATTTGCTCTCTTCTCCCTTTCTGTCTATGTAGTTATATATTTCAAGTTAGTATCATACGTTTGATTATTACAGGATTCATGCCTTACTCCTGATGATGTCTGTTGAAAGCCTGATGGATATTTTCTTGCGCCATTGCTTATCCTGTGCTCGTGTTCAAACAAATTGACACTGATTGTTTATTTGTAAGTTTTCCTCCTCCCTTGCTGCTGTATGAACTGTTCAGATGAATAAGATTTGAGTAACTTTTGAAACAAATTCATCCATGATGGTGAGGACTTAGAAAAACTGATAGATGGGTTTTGCTAAAATCTGTTGGGACAAAATCTGCTAGCTGTAGGTTTGAATTATTACAAATAGTATCAGAGTTAGACACGAACGGTGTGCCAGTAGGGACGATGGACCCAAGGAAGTGAATTGTGAGATCCCATGTTGATTGGAAAGGGAAATGAAGCATTTCTTATAAGAATGTGGAAACCTCTCCCTAACATGTGCGTTTTAAAACTGTGAGTTTAACGAAGATACGTAACGAGCTAAAACGGACAATATCTGCTAGCAGTGGACTTAAACGGTTACAATATAGATCAAAATACATATACATACATTTTTTTTTTTTTTTGTTTAAGCTCTTATATCAATAAATTAGTATAAGGTTCTATAATTATATATGTATAAGTGCAATAATGTTTAATGATAAGATCAAGCAAAAGGTATCATCGAGAGCAGCAGTATATCATGGAGGTGATAACAATGTCTGGCGTGGAGCATTGTAACGAATGCAAATTTCATCTCTTTGTTTCTTTTGTTTGGGCGATGTGCAATAAAAAATAAAGTAAAATGGGGGCATGATAATCATACCTCTTTGTGTTTATGGCTAATAAAAATTTAATATCTAAAAGTTTAAATAGAAATGGATAAGAACAAGCATTACATCCATTTTGTCGGAATCCTCTTTTTCTTCTGAAAAAAGGGAAGGAGAAGTATCTTCTTCGGTGGATCCCTCTTGTTCTTGTTTAGTCTCCTCCGTTTCTTTCAGTTTCTTAGTAAATAATAGACACAGTAATAAATAAGAGAATACTATACTAAAGATTCTGAGTCATAGAATTTCTCATTTCTGACACAAGCTACTTATTAGATCTATATCCAGACTAATAGAATGGTATTAATTATTTTGAATCACTTATTAAAACAAATTTGAAAATTTAAAAATTATATAAAATTAATTTAATATCCTTAAATATTTTAAAAAAATTTAAAAGGGTATTAATTAAATTTTAAAAAATTAAAGATATTTACGAAATTTACACTTAAATGAATTTTATAAATATATATATTTTTTTTTAGAGAAGATATTGTTTATTAATATTATTTAAAAAGGAAAAAGACAAAATCCAAAATTAAACTCATAATTTCCCCGCAAATTCAAAATATAATAAAATAGTAGTACCATCGGCGTCGGCTACTAGACGGTTTCTCGTGAAGCCCATTTTCCTGCACCGCCTCCGGTAAACTGTCAACATTCCAAGAAGATCTTGCTTTATTTGTTAGGGCAAGCAACCACGGCGTTGGTTCCTCCTCCTTCCCCCCCTTCCCCTATTAAATGGACCCAATTCTTCCACGGTTCTCTCCTGAATCAAATACAAAATCTCTTCTCCTTCTTCCTCCATTTCTTTCACTTTTACGTAATTCATCCTTCTTTTGCGTAATTCATCCTTCTTTTGCGTAATTCACTCTTACTTTTTTCGAATTGTTTTTGAAGGTTTTTGAAGGTTTTTGAATTTTTCGGATTATGGCGATTCCTAATTGCTGCCGATTTGCTGCGTCCTAGAAAGGCGGCTTGCAAACCGGCATTCTGATGCCTTCTTCTACGCCATTATCGTCGGGGATTCTGACTCAAGATGAACTGAAGAAGATTGCTGCGTATAAGGCCGTTGAATATGTCGAATCCGGCATGGTTCTTGGCCTTGGCACCGGCTCCACCGCCAAGCACGCCGTCGATCGAATCGGCGAGCTCTTGCGTCAAGGGAAGCTCGAGAACATTATAGGAATCCCTACTTCCAAGAAAACTCACGAACAAGCCGTCGCGTTGGGAATCCCTCTCTCAGACCTAGATTCGCACCCGATTCTTGATCTCGCGATTGACGGCGCCGATGAGGTTGATCCGCATCTGAATCTGGTGAAGGGCCGAGGAGGTTCTCTTTTGAGGGAGAAAATGGTGGAGGGGGCTTGTAAGAAGTTCGTGGTGATTGTTGATGAGTCGAAATTGGTTAAGTATTTGGGCGGAAGTGGGCTTGCTCTGCCGGTGGAGATTGTGCCTTTTTGCTGGAACTTCACCGCCGTGCGGCTGCAGAAGATGTTTGAAGAATCTGGTTGCGTTGCTAAGCTTAGGATCAAAGATGAAAGTGGAGAACCCTTTGTTACTGATAATGGCAATTACATTGTGGACTTGTTTTTGAAGAAAGATATTGGGGATTTGAATGCTGCGAGTGATGAGATTTTGCGGCTTGCTGGTGTTGTTGAACATGGGATGTTTCTTGGGATGGCTACCACTTTGATTGTTGCTGGCGAACTTGGCATTGCCATCAAGAATAAGTAGAACCATTAGAACACTTGAGATCTGAAATGGCCTCTCAGATGAACAGCAATACCAAGAAGAGCTATGAATTAGTGTTCATAAAACCATAGCTTGTCAGTTGCATAGTTCATTTACACAGAGATTTGGTTTGATTATGTTTGAAAATTGGCTGTTGGTCTGTTATGATCTGTGTTTGATGTTTTCGTTAGTCGATGGTTCCTGTTCATTGTTGCCCGTCGCGGTATCGAACGCTCTAAGCTTGTGCCGGTTCTTTATCGAACTCGGCCATTGTATGTCTTGAGGGAACTTTGGAAATGTGGTTAGCTTAGAGCTTCCAAAACTAAAATCGAACTGTTGTGTAGAATGGCATATTGTTATTGGTAGCTTGACTCATATCATTTTCTTGTTGAGTTCTTTACAAGTATGCATAATTACCGCTCTAGTTACTTTTGATCTTTTTAGAAGTATACTTGGGCTAGACGAATCCCTCTTGCTCGTTAACAAAGAGTGATTCATGCTACTCTAGAAGAGAGCAACAAGATATTCAAGAGGATCCTTTTTTAAGGTACTCTGCTTGATAGTCGGCTTAGAAGATCGACAAGGATTAGGAAGCTCTCAAGTATATAGAAGCTGATGTCGATTTTCTTCTAAAGTTGAAGATATTGAGGCACGCACCTCAAGCACGACTTTTCTTAAACTTTTGACCGTCTATTTTTCTATTTGCAATTTTTTTCATGTCGGGTTTAAGGTCGAAAGATGATTGCACCAACACCGTTACGTGACAACGACATTGTTTGTTTTCAAGATGTGGAAATTGGAAGCAGTTAGAAATAGAGAATTTTATTTAAACAATTTAATTCATAAAACATTTTTTACAACTAATTATTTTCGTCACTAATTTTCAAATAAAAAGAGCTGGCAAACCAGAGGAAGCTGCATTCTTATACAGCGACAAATGGGCCCAAAAGTAGGCCCATGATGATAAGCTTTGTGAACCAAGAATCTTCCTATGGGCCCATTTTCCACTAGAATCTTACAATGGGCCCATTTTCCTCTGAGCCCTAATAACATTATACTGGGCCCATTGAAAAAATGGTGGTGGAAAATGTCCACACGTGAGTGGAGTGGAGCACGTGTAGCCATTTTGAGCTATATAAATATTTATATAGTTAATATATTAATAAATAAATCAATCAAATTGACAATATTTTAATCACTTATTTTTAATTATAAAGCTAAAAGCATGTTATATTTATTATTATTACCTAATAAAATTTAGGTAACCAACTCCACAAATTAGATTATATTTTACAACTAACTAATTAAAATAAATTAAAAAAAAAAAAAAAAAAACCAAAACACAAAAGTGGAATAGAGCTAACCTTTTTAGGTTTTCTTTTCTATTTCATCCCCTTTTAATGACATTTTTGCTATATGGCCCTAAAGTTTGAGACAATAATGATTTGGCCCCACACACTAACACCAATGGCCTCTTTAGGTCCAGCTGATCACCGCGGTTGTATTGTAAATATGCAACTGGCTGCCTTGCTTGCTTGAACTTCTTCCCCTTTCTAGGGAAAAAGCCTTCTATTTCTGTCAAATGACCCGACCTCTCCTGTCTCTTCCACCGTCCGGGCTACCTTTCTCGCATATGCTATGCTCCCCCGGCGCAGGCCTACCACGCTTCGCGCCTGCGGCGTTTTCGCCAGACGGTCTTTGCCAGTAGTGCCATCCTCCGTGTTGGTTGTATGGGCAGGTTGCCCCATTTTCAGGGACTCTTTTGCGACTTTATAAAGTTTTTTCTTGGACCCATTTTTATAAGTACAAATCATAACCCCTAAAACAAGAAATTGGGTGAAAAAAATTCTTAATTTGCACACATACCCAAAAATTTCACTTGAAGAACTAATGAATTGTTGGTGTAATCTTGATTTGATTATTATGTTGTTCGTGTTCATCTAACACGACTATTTACAATGATATGATATTATTGTCCACTTCCAGCATTTCATGGCTTTGCATTTAGCTTCCCAAAACGCCTCGAACCAATGGAGATGGTATTTCTTGATTATAAACCCATCATCATTACCTAAATTAGTCGATGTGAGATTTTCATCCAATAATAGTTAGCCTACGAGATGATCATGTTAAAAAAACCTAAAAATGTCTATGACATATGGATAAGGTTGAATGTCTTTTCTTGATAAACTATTTATATGACCCACTTTGTAATTGTTACCATTTATTTGATTCGAATCGTTCTTATAGAAATATATGAGTTGATGTATTTTAATACAATAATTTTTTATAATATTAAACCATGAAATATCAATATATTTTTATAAACTTTGTAAATTAAAAAAAAATAAAAAATTTATAAAATGATCACGTACGACTCAATTTCAATCTTCAGTGAGTTATGAAGTCCAACATAAGAGGACTATAGAATTCTATATAAGTGGGTTTTCACGAGTGAGAATTACAATTGTAGCCAATTTAAGAAACATACCGGAAAACACAATCAAATAAGAAGTTGAACAACATAATTTTGAGATTTTAACAATAATTCCCACACTCTTACCGTTCGAGAGGGACTTAATTAATGATTTGATCCTAACAAATAGTTCATTAAAACTAAAAGTGTAAGACGTAATTATATAAGTAAATCGAACTTATAACCCATTTATGTACAAATATCTCGGGAATAATTGACTTGCACACAACCTGTTCTAAATGGCATAAAAAATGTAAAAATGTAATAGTGCCCAATAATGTGTAGTTTCAATATGCCTATTATCTCAAATGTTCATCGATCAGTACTCCTACAACTTAGATGTCAAACCAAAAAGATCTGATCTCGAGGCTCTTAGTCAGAAAGGTGATGAAAGTTTCAGTGCCTACGAGGTGGAGGGCTGTCGCCAAAATGGCCAAGACTGAGGGGAGGGGCAGAACAGGCAGCTAGCCTGCTAGATTGAATGAAAGCACTTAGCCAGGGGGAGTCGAGACCAGGCAAAGAAAGAAAGGGAAAGGGCCTAAAATCTCGAAAAGGCAAGGACTCCAAGAAGAAGCCAAGCCTGAGGCCAAAAAAAGCGAGCTCAAGATCAGGAGCCAAAGAAGCGGACCGAGAAAAAAGAAGGAAGACTGAATCTGATTTTTCTCACCAAAGGCTCCAACATATAATATAATGCATTATATTATATTATATTATAATATATGATTTTATTTTATATTATATGATAGCGTGACCTTCTCCTTCAATTATTCCATCAACCCTAAGATTGTATCTAACCCACTCCCTTTCTCCTTTCTCCACATCATTTATTTGTTTGATAATAATTATTTATTCATCCTAAAAATAAATAATATTATTTATTTTATTTTTATAAAGGTAGTTTGTGATGATTTGTTAAAAATTAGGCAAAAAAAAATTAGGTTAAGATGGAGATTTGTACCTAAATTAAATTTAAAATAATAAAATTATTTCATTTTTAAATCCATTTAAAACATAATTTAATTTAATTTAAATATTATGAGTCAGCCAATTCAATTTATTTATTTATAGTTTAGTTATATATAGAAATTATATTATTTAATATTTTAAATAAATACCAAATAGTATGAAAATTAAAATTTGAAATTTTAGTCCTACTTTGGATCCATTATCGGTGGGGCCCACTGAAAACATTATGATATCATAGGTAATAATACACTGGATCATCGCCTTCTGATCATGTCCAAATTAAATGATTGACTTTCTAGTGGGCCCCACACTGTGAAAATCTGATCCATGTAATTTGGTGGGATCTAGCTTAGGAGAAGGGTGTATTATCGTTCACATAGATCGCGTTGCAGGCGATCATATCTCACCGTACACTGTTTTAGATGTTTTATTGCGATCAAATCAAACGGTTGATAAAATTTGGGTTAGTGTAAAATTAATTGGACCAAATGATAATTTAAATTATTATTTTTGCTTATGATAATATATATTTTATTGTTTATTTATTCTACATCATCTCTTAAATATAAATATATAAATATATTAATATTTAAAATATAATGTTATAAAATATATATTGAAATTAAATGGTAAATCTTCCCTTCCAATGAAAATAAATAAATAAATGTTTATATATATTAATATTTTCTTTTTAATAAAATTAAAAGATTAATCCAAATATTTGTTGAATTTATTATTATTTAATTAAAAATTATTTGTTGACTAAGTGGGAGCTAGGAGAGATTAGACTTACAGTGATTTAATTTTGAGGGCAAATTGGTAATTTAAACAAATATAATGATGACACGTGTACAAGAGTGTGAAAAAGAATTAAGGAAAAGTAGTATGGGACAAAATGGAATAATATAAGAAAATAAATATTTAGGGATTTGGCCATGCTTTTTTACTTAATTACTGATTTTAACGCAATTAATTAATTAATTAATTAATTGATTAATTAAAAATTAAGGCTCTGCCTGATTTTGTTTAACTAATTTAATGTAAAGCCAGCTTTTTTTGGTTTCTCATGATCACTAATTCACTGCCCCCACCACACTTTCATGTGAGCTCCTCTTCAGAGTTCTATTAATCTCCGTTACTTCGTTCTGAAGATCGTTGATCGGACTGGTACACTGCTCTTCTCTGTTCTTCGCTTACTGACTTCTTCAAATGAGGTAGCTGTGGTTTTGCGGTTGCCGATGAGGGGTTTATCGATATCTGCTTCGATTTCGCTTCTGTTTTTGGTGGATTTTGCCGCGTTCTTCTCGGTTTTGGCTTTATCTCACGATTTGGTGCCTAGAGATTCTGGAAAATTCGTCTTAGGTCTGCACATTTTCTGTCTTGCTCGTGAATTCTTGCTGGATTTGGTCCTCTTTTCTGATTCGAGTGTGATTTTCTTGTGAATTTGATCGATGATTTTTGCTGAAAGTAGCTGTGGGAAAATTATTTTATGTTATTTGTGTTTTCTGTTTGTTATTGTCCGAAGAAATGGATGCACTCCTCTAACTTAAAGGAGGTTAAAGGTGTTTGAGGCATATTTTGTTGCTTTATTTCTTGATTCTATGAATTGTTGTGTGTAAACTTTGGGATTCCTGCAATCTTGTTCTTCGTTTTTGTATTCTAAGCTGCCACATTGTGGAAAATATTTATTCCCTAATTGTTGGTTTTATGTTCTTTGCGTTGGCTTTTGTTTATTGATGGCGCTTTTTATTTGCAGGACAAGAAAACTTGGGTCCATGGAAGAATGAGATATTGGAGACTGCTAAAGCCCCAGGATCTGCAAATAACGACTCTCAAGGCCCTCTTCTATTGGCAGCAAATAGAACGAAGCGTCCAGATATTCTTCATGGGTTTAGGGTGTATCAAGGTGGCTGGGACATTGCCAATCGGGATTATTGGGCTGTAAGAGTTGCTCTCATAATTTATTTTACTAACTGTGTCTGATATATTTTCCCTGAATTCATACTATTCTATACAATTTCTTGTTGTTATATGTTTGAGTATGTGTGAGATCCTACATCGGTTGGAGAGGGGAACGAAACATTCTTTATGAGGATGTGGAAACCTCCCTAGTAGACGCATTTTAAAATCGTGAGGCGGATGGCGATACGTAATGGGCTAGCGGTAGACTTGGACTGTTACAAATGGTATCAGAGCCAGACACCAGGCGGTGTGCTAGCGAGGGCATTGGGTGTCACAACCATACTATGAAGAGAGTAGGTTATATTAGTCATCGTCCTCGATGACTTCCTCGGGGCACAATCGCATTGCGGATTGTGACACTGGGCCCCAAGGGAAGTGGATTGTGAGATCCCACATCGGTTGGAGAGAGGAACGAAGCATTCTTTAGAAGGGTGTAGAAACCTCTCCCTAGGAGACATGTTTTAAAACCGTGAGGCTGACAGCGATATGTAACGGGCCAAAGCGGGCTATATTTGCTAGTGATGGACTTGGGCTATTACATTCGGGTGATCACTAATTTTTGGCTTCATACCCATCGTATCACACCATAGAATTAAATAGCTATAGTATGTTTTTGTTGTCATTTTGTCTGCAGTGTTCTTACATTTTAGTATATGATCTTAGCTTGTATTGGCTCTTCCTTGGCATTGCTTCTAATTAGTTCTTTACCTGTAGTCATTTCTTTTGTGTTAATATGTTTCTGCAGTCTGTTGGATTTACTGGTGCCATTGGCTTCATTCTTTCCATCCTCTGGTTCATTTCCTTTGGCATTGCTCTTTTTATTCATCTTTGCTGTGGATGGAAGTTAAACATTAAAGGCGAAGAATCAAAGACTTCACAGCGGATTTGCCTCGCGTTACTTGTACTTTTGACATGTGCTGCCACGTAATACTCTACACTCTTGTCTCGATGATACACTTAGATTTTGAAAGCTTCTTCTAAATCTATTTTATTTGTCGTCTTTTTACATCGTTTGGTGCATGAACCATCGTTTTCATTGGAAATGCATCTTATTTATGTTGTTAATATGTGAGATCTCACATTGGTTGGAGAGGGGAACAAAGCTTTCCTTTTAAGGGTGTTGAAACCTCTCCTAGTAGACGCGTTTTAAAATTGTGAGGCCAACGGCGATACTTAACGGGCCAAAGTGGACAATATCTGCTAACGGTGGACTTGGGTGTTATTTTAATCTCAACTATGTTCGAATTGTCTCAACTCCTTTCTGAATCAAAGCTTTTCCTTCTTCGCAGCATTGGCTGTATACTTCTATGTTTAGGACAGAATGATTTTTACAATGAAGGTTTGCATACTTTGAAGTATGTTGTAAACCAGTCAGACTATACTGTGGATACGCTTAAAAATGTTACAGAATATCTCTCACTTGCAAAGACCATTAGTGTGGCCGAGGTGTTTCTTCCAATTGATGTAATCAACGACATTGACAAGTTAAACGCGGATTTAAATACCGCTGCAGATACAGTGGCCGAGAAGACGAGTATAAATTCTCATAAAATAACAAGAGTTTTCATTGCTATGTATGTATCTTCATCTTTTTCCTTTCAATCAAGTTCATGTTCTTTTACGACACCTAAAAGCTAACATAAATATTGCTCGTATAGGCGTTCAGCATTAATTACCGTTGCTGCGCTCATGCTTCTTCTGGCTCTCGTCGGTCTTTGTACGTAATTCTTATTCTTAAATAAAATTGTTTTGTTTCCTCGTTTACTTGACGTGTGCGTATTTTTAACTTACTGGAATTGTTGTTGCAGTCCTGTCGTTCTTTGGATATCAACATGCAATGTATATGTAAGTTGTTCGTCGTGTGATTGATTTAGTTTTCTTTTCAGATTCATCTATATATTGGTAGAATAAAAGTATGTTGTCATATTTTGCAGATTAATAGTCAGTGGTTGGCTACTTGTGACAAGTACATTTGTTCTTTATGGATTGTTTGTAATCCTTGACTGGTAAGTTGGTTTACAATTTGGCTATATCGTTGCGTAGTCTTATTAACTAATAACCCTCATATTGGTTTAATGAAATTGCTACCCAAACCCACCGCTAATCGATATTGTCCTCTTTAGACTTTCCCTTTCGGACTTCCCTTCAAGATTTTTAAAACGCGTCTGCTATGGAGAGTTTTCTACACCCTTATAAAGAATGTTCTGTTCTCCTCCCCAACATGTGGGATCTCACAATCCACCCATTTTGGGATCCAACGTCTTTGTTGGCACTCGTTCCCTTCTCCAGTCGTGGAACTCCCCAATCCAACCCCTATTCGAGGCCCAGCGTCCTTGCTGGCACACTGCCTCGTGTCCACCCCCTTCAAGGCTCAGCCTCCTCATTGGCATATGTGTTTGGCTCTGATACCATTTGTAACGTCTCAAGCCTACCGCTAACAACTATTGTTCTATTTGGGTTTTCCCTTTTGGGTTTCCCTTAAAGTTTTTAAAACGCATCTGCTAGGGAGAGATTTCCATACCCTTATAAATAATATTCATTCTCCTCCCCAACTGAGGTGTGATCTCACATTTACTGTCATCGCTTCTAATTTTTTCAAAATTAAAAGGATAAACTGAGTTTATGTCTATTTTTTGCTCTTTTTTTCTCTTCCTCAGTGCAGTTTCTGATACTTGTATGGCAATGGAAGAATGGGTGGATAATCCTCATGCAGAAACAGCTCTTAGCAATATCCTTCCTTGTGTTGATCATAAAACAACAAACCGGACGCTAATCCAAAGTAAAAAGATTGTAAACGACATTGTGAGCGTTGTTGATCAATTTGTGTACAACTTCGCCAATGCAAATCCTCCCCCAGGACTTCCCAACTACTGCAACCAGTCTGGACCTCCAATGCCAGCTCTCTGTTACCCATATAACTCTCAGCTGGAAGAAAGTAGATGTGGCGATAACGACGTGACTATCGACAATGCATCAACAGTAAGATTCATACAAGGCATTCTGGCTGCATTTTAACTTGGGAATGTCTATGCACCAAATAATAGGGCGATGTTTATAGGTGTCTGTACGTGTATTGAATCAACATCATGACTAGATCTAGATCTTAGTCTAACTGTGTGAGATCCCACGTCGGTTGGAGAGGGGAACGAAGCATTCTTTATAAGGGTGTGGAGACCTTTCCCTAACATACATGTTTTAAAACCTTGAGGAAGCCCAGAAGAGAGTCTAAAAAAGATAATATCTACTAGTGGTGGGCAAATGGTATCAAAGCCAGTCACCGAGCGGTGTGCCAACGAGGACGCTGGCCCCCAAGAGGGTGGATTGTGAGATCCCACATCGGTTAGAGAGGGGAACGAAGCATTCCTTATAACGGTGTGGAAACCTCTCCCTAGCAGACGTGTTTTAAAACCTTGAAAGGAAAGCTCAAAAGGACAATATCTACTAGTAGTGGGCTTTGGAATGGGAAGAACAACCAAAACATATCAGTGTTTATGGTGCCTTTCTCAGTTAATCATCTTTCTGTGTGTTCATCTGTCTTTGTTTCGATAATGATCGATACTTCGGTTATAAATGCAGGTTTGGCAGAAGTTTGTGTGCCAAGTATCGGAATCGAAACTGTGCACCACGGTTGGGAGAGTCACACCGGACATCTATTCCCAGATGGTGGCTGCAGTGAATGAGAGTTATGCACTTCAGCATTACACTCCCCCTTTGCTTAGCCTCCAGAACTGCAATTTCGTAAGGGAAACGTTTCACAACATCACCACAGGTTACTGTCCTCATCTGCACCATCATCTCAAGATTGTGAATGTTGGACTTGCAATGATTTCTGTTGGAGTATTGCTCTGTCTCTTGCTATGGATACTATATGCAAACCACTTCCAAAGGAGGAGTGATGTGTTAGTGAAGATATCAATGAGATCTCACATTGATTGTAGAGGAACGAGTGCCAGCGAGGACGTTGAGCCATGAAGGGGGTGGATTGTGAGATCTCACATCAATTGAAGAGGGGCACAAGTGCTAGCGAGAAAGCTGGGCTTTGAAAGAAGGTGGACCATGAGATCCCACATCAATTGGGGAGAAGAACGAAATATTTTTATAAAGATGTGGAAACCTCTTCCAAGCAAATGTGTTTTAAAAACTTTGAGGGAAAACCTGAAACGGAAAGTCCAAAGAGGATAATATCTGTTAGCAGTGGGCTTAGGCTATTATAATATCGTTGTCGATAAAGCGGACGAATCCAGTGACATCAAGCATCGGATGAGGAGTTTAGAGAGGTAGAGAAGAAAAAAAATAGATAGCAGGTTGGAAGCTTAAGTTTCCTCCTCGAATGGTAGAGTGAGTAGCTATATGCTCATGTAGTATATATACCCCTTTCAAGGGATGAAACCAAGGTGGGGCGCAGCGCCATTTTGGGTGGAAATATAATCAAAGCAAAATTCAATTTTCGGTTACATTTGGCTGCAATGCTCTTCTAACTACAATCTCAAATCAGGATTGATTCTATTTCATCAATAAGTCGAAGTGATGTGATAACACACGGATGCGTTGACGTCTCAATTTAACATTCGTGTCCTTCGACCGTAAATCTTATAAAGTGTTTGATAGATTTATTAACTTAAAAAAAAAAAAGGATTAGTAACGGAAGATCTAATGTTTTAAAATTGTGGTCTCAAAAGTGATTGAAAGAAGAAGTGAAATTAGGTAGGTTTCCCCTACCCCTCTTCTAGTTATGTCATTACCAATATGAAGTCGTTACCTTAGCTGCAAAGAGGGGGATGTTGAAGGCAAGGATAGTGACTAGAGTGAAGTCGCAACAAGTGCGGCTAGATCACCTACATGCACGCACCTGTCGGAATGCCTCCTTGAGGTAGAGTAGACCAATGATGATCTTATGTCATTTAGCCACTGATTTTCATATGCATCTCAACTAAGGTTTCATAAGAGAAATCAGAGTCTAACCATATTTGATCATCCCCACCTCTCTCTCAATCTCATCCGTGGGTATTCCTTTCAAGGTTCTTTAGACTATTGTTCTCACCAAATATACCGAACTCTTCACCCTTGAATGAACTATACAAACGAGCTGAAACTTGCAGGAAAATGGACAACTTCTATATTACAGCTTTCTGCTGAAGCTTTCTTTGTCACAGAGGCATAAAAAAGCAAGAAAAGCTCTTGAAATTTACAAATGGTGAATGTATACAAGTCACTGATATATGTTGTGGAATGGAAGCAAAAGATTTTCATGGCGTCAGAACTTACCAATGATCCAGTGCCTTACCATGAGGGGTGTTTCTCCTTTCTGAGCCTGATTCCTTTGCTGAGAGTCTCTCTGCCATAGAAAAAACATCAAGGAGGCCATGAACAACCAGCCACTCGTTCATATACATGTTGGGATAGATGACTGCAACTCCATTGATCATCAACATGCCGTTCGATTTCGCAACGGAAATTGCATATCCCTTTGAATATGTAGATAATTTCGTGCCTTTATCAAGATCCACAAGATCATTCCATAAAATTCTACGCGGCAAAATCTGACGAAAATACAGAGAAGGATAATCGGTAAAGTCATCAATGCGAGAGGCCAATGTATCATCTGAAGGAGCAAAGACTGTCATCATGGACTGACCATTACTAAACCTTAAAATCTTAGATTCAAGAAACAACGCCATTGAAGAATATCCAGTAGATCTTAGGGTTTCTATTGCTTCACCGAATGAATTCTTCTCCGTCATTGGACCTTACCGGAATCCCGCACTCAGACTCCGAGTAACCGGAAACACTTGGAATTTCAGGTCAAAAAACTTCTCGGTGCCAAAAACAACAAGCGAACCGTCATCGTAAATCGGCGAGCTACTAATCATGACTCGATTCAAAGAAATTTCATGAAAATATCGGGAAGAGGTTACCGTGAGCGATCGATCGGCCAACATCGTGGGAATCTTGGTGCCTAACGCGAGCGATTTGAGGCATTCGGGAGATAAGAAGAGAGGCAAGAAATGAAATCGAAGAAGAGAGAGAGAGAAGGCTGACCGGATTGGGCGAAAGCAGTATCTGAAGGTGAGAAGATTGTGATTGAATTGGATTGAGAGAGCAAGGATTAGGCTATGAGCTGAAGTATCACGGCCATGGAGACGAAGCCATTGTCGGACAAGATAGAGAGAAGAGTGAGAGAAGGATGAGAGATGAAGAGTGTGGAAGCCATCGAAGAGGCTGTGTTTAAGCTTCGGAATTTGTTTGCAGAGACGAAGTAGAGAATTTTGCGGATTCGGACAGTCTTATTTTTTGGCGCGAAAAGGTTGACACGTGGCGAGTATGGATTCGCTGAAATTGGTGGTTAGAAAATTGTTCGAAAATGCCCTTCTTTGTGCTGACTCAAAAATTATAATTTTAAAAAAAAAAATATATATATAGATATATATATATTTATTTATTTATTTATTACATCAGCAAAGTAGAATATGACATGGGGCCATAACCCTATGGTCATAGAATCAAAACCCTGTCTTTGATCAAATCATAATAATAATACCAAGAAATGTAAACAAAATATGTTGGTATGTGAGAATAATTTTTTTCCGAACTTGTTCGAAAATGTCATTGCTGTGCCATTCTCTACAAGACGTCAACTCAATATATATTCAATAATAAACAATAACAAATTAAAAGTGGTGCAACGAAACGTGGTGAACCCATAACCCAATAATAACAAAACACATATATTTATTATATCAACAAATTAGAATGGTACAGTGGAAACATGATGAGCCCATACGAATCCATTTTCCTTTTTCTACGTGTGGGAGTTAGAATTAATTCCCGTTTATCTCATTAGAGTGGTGCAAGGAAGACGTGGTAAGCCCATAACCCTATAATAACAAAACAAATATTATTTATTGTATCAACAAATTAGAGTGGTACAGAAGAAACGTGGTGAGCCCATAACCCAAATAAAATCGAACCACGTTTTCATTTCATGTTTCGTTTGATCGGGAGATCTAACAGAACTGCCCTCTTCTGAATCCTAATTGGAACACATTTTGAACCTTAAAAAGGTACATAAGCTACGGATTTTGACTATGATTTCAAAAAGGTTTAAACAAACTTAATTATCAAAGGCTACAATGAATCTAAATACCATATTGAAGAAGCTGTGTGTCCAAAAGCCAAAAGCCAATCAAACAAATTATTTAAAGCCTCAGATATGCTATAAGTTACATATGCTTCTCTATATTTCTCCTATCTCTTTGGAGCAACCAAGTTTAAGCTTTATGTCACTTTGAAAGCAAAGAAAAAGGAACAAAAAAAGCAAATTTCGAATGATTTGAACTCGAAAATTAGTTCATGATACGTATTTGTATGGTCACTGTGTGATGCACGGAATTGAATTGAATCGAATTGAATTGAAAATGCCCAACAAACCTCATCTTAGACGGTTGAATGCTCCAAATCTCCAGAGCTTCTTCATTATTTTACTTCTGTTGAGTCATATCCTTCACAAAACTTCAGCTCCGAGCTTCTCCTTGGCCTGAAAATGTCACAAATGGAAGATAAATTATAGGATGACAAGAACATTGTTGGAGGCTCTCTCTCTTTTGATACCTTTCATTTTTTTTGTTTCTTTCCCTTATTATATGCTTTTTAAGTCTTTTTGAAAGAGCCAATTACCCTCTCCTAATAATCATATTTCTTTAAAGAATGTCGTTGGTGGTAATACTTCCGACTCTTCTGCTGCGAACGCCAGTAACAAGCAAGAACTCCGAAGGCACAACTTGCAAGAGCAATTGCCAAAGCAGCCCCCACCGGGACTGCAACTGCGTTTGTTGATGTCGCTAACTCGTCGAGTGCCCCATCGACAACAACATTCCCAAGAGAACTGTTGCTTTTGTACAGAGATACAAGCATTTTACCATAGTAGTTGGTCAAGAATTTATGTACTACATTCTCGTCCCATTTTATCTGCTTGCTGCTGTGAGAGCGATAGCAAGATGAGCAAAGTTGCGGCGGAGGCCAGATCATCTTGGGAAATTTCGGGTCTGCGGTTCCCATGGATTCTTCTTCTTTTAATAATCTTTCATTGACTTTGTTGTGTGCCCTCCACAACCAGAGGGCAAAGTCACGAGCTTTGTTGAAAGGACTATACACACTGAAGACAGTACCTTGAGTTAGATGGTAAGGATATATTAAGAAAATGATACCAAATATTTACGCCAATCTTACCTCGAACACATTTCGTGAAAGTGCTGACGACATTCCTCGCAAACAAAGAAGTTACGGATGAAATCGCATATAGCTGTGAACGCAAACTGGCTTTCTCCGTCCTCAATTCTCACAGAAAGAGAATGCAGTAGAACCCATAATCCACAACTGCAGAAAGAGGCAATTAATCACATGATTGTAGAAAGACAACCATCTAAACGTTAACTAGAACATCAATAGGTTTAGCAACTATACTCTGATTTGGATCAATAATTTGTTTTTCCTTTTATTTTTCCATTTTTCTTTTCTTTTCAGGAAGCACAATGGAGCGAATAAGAACAATCATATGAAACTCCGCACGAAATTCCAACTGCATTCTCCTTAATGGAATGTAAATGGCTAGGAATTCGAAGGCATTGTCACTTTTGTATATAGAATGTTGCTAATTTTCTCCAGATTTAGATATAGGAACCGAGTGTAAAAGGAATTTCTAGAGAAAGCTAAGCTTTTCCACTCATTTAGAAAGAACAATTGGGTACCATCTGGCACATCAAATAAAAGTACGAGAAAAAGTTACCTAAATCCCCTCGTATCGTTCTTGCTACCACGGCAGAAAATCTGCAAACACGACATTCAAAGATAATGAGAATTATAGGAGTCTTTGTGTGTGTGTGTGTGTGTGTGTGTATAATACAAGGGAAGGAGGGAGAAAATGATCAGGTAGTCAATAGAAAGAGAAGTATTATGTACAGTGAGAGTTTCAAGCGTCTCAAACAAATGGAGGTTTTGAAACACAAACAATTCGTTGATATGAAAGAAACAATCTTAAAATTGGAGGTTTCTCTTCAAACTGTTCTGTAGGTCGATCGTTGAATAAGTGCCTACCTTGATCATACGAAATGGAGTATCTTAATCATGCCACAAAGATTTCACGGTGGATGACAAAATCCATATATCTTAATCATGCCCAACATATATCTTAGGAGGTCATCTAACCCTCTGCCCTTCAGGCCTCCACTATAAACTAATAGGTAAAGATTCTAAGACTTCATTACCATCAAACAAACGATAGTTGACCATGTTTCTTGTATTCGATAGAAAATGAAAATACAGTTCATATCAATACCCAGGAAATACCAGATAGTGGTCGACAAGATACATCAAATGCAACTCATAATTCCAAAAATAGTCCGGTTAAATTTTATGGTTTGTGTACCCACCCAATATCCACGAGGAACATCTTTTCCACATATTTGAAAGTTTTTAACTGCACCTTTTTCACTAGCAACCTCTTCTTGTTTCATATCTGCAAGGCTCAACTCGTCGAAGTTTACAAGTATCTCAGCGCTACCTCTTCGACACCTAAAGAAAGAGAAGAAACATCCCGATAATGAAACAGGAAAATATCACTTAGGTGAAGACAAGGATGAGACAGATATGCACCTCACAGAAGGATGATGAACCACCAGAAGTTGAAGAAATTTTATAAGGGGTGCTCGAGTTTCAGACTTGATCATCTGAAAGCATGCATGTGTAAGTTATCGGTCTATAATTGCTGGAAATAACACATACACATTTATATACGTATATGTATGCATGTGGTACAAAAAACTAATTACCTTGCGTTCCAAGATAATATCAAAGGCAGTGGATGTTGCCTCCTCAACATCATAGACTGCTCGAGCAATCTATTGTCATCAAATGCATTTCAATTGTCAACATCAGGAGTGAAGAAAAATTGTCTCATTTGTCATATAAGCAAATCAAAGTTTTATCATGATGGCTCAACCAACCTGTCCTGGATCTGAGATATTGGATGACAGGTGCTCATTTTCAAATGTTTGGTCATCCAAGCCATATGAGCTGGAAGTCAGTTAATTGCTTATTGCTCGTTTCAACTATGCAAAACTTGATAGAGCAAATTAAGAAATGATTGAAAGTACCTCCTACCTGCCCATTTGCTTGTTCATCCAATTTAGTAACTTTTCAGCAGTCCGTCCATCATCAATGTTACGAATTTCACTTTTCTCTTCCTTAGGATTCCAACTACCAGACACAAAGTTGGAAGGAGGACCCCAAAAGAGCATAGGAAAGTGACCCACCGAAAATTTATCACAGAGATTGGTATTCATCTGTGCTGGCAGACAAGTAAACGACAAGGACTAATCACCAAGATGCCTTCATATTTGTAAAATTCAAATTACGAACAAGGAGACTCAACAAATGTCGTATACTAAAGCCAGAACTATCTTTTTTCTTGGACCTCACTTAGCAATGGGTAAAAGTTGCGCAGACTGCTAAAATTTTCAAAATAATCACACATGAGAAAATAAGCCAAAATAGTGAAAACTATAAACAAGATTTAAAAAAGAAAAAGTGAGGTCAACAACAAAGGATAAGTTGATACCATCCTTCTAAATCTCAAACTCATGCATGGTAAAGAATTAGTAATATTGGCCATTCACTATGAGGACCTCAAAACGGATACGGTACACTGACTCAAATCATTATTGGTTAACACACAATATAAGGTTGCAATTTGCATATCATCCGATATGAAACATGTTTCTAAAAGTTGGAGAAATTTATAAGATAAGATTAGATTATAAATTTAACAAGTTTTTGTAATGTACATCCTCATTAGAAAAACTACAAAAAATTGTCAATAGCATGATATGATTAAATTTAGGAACCAGATGTGTGATGATGACCCCCTCGCAGCTTCAAGTGTACATGCATGCTATGCCAATCGATAAAAAGTTGAGACTTGCAACAAATTATCTTCGTATACTAATCAAAATTCAATCAACAAGTTAATTATGTGAATCATTCAGTTCTATGATTGTTCTATGATTATCCCCACAAACCAACACAAGTCCTTTCAACATGTTTTGTGTTCACTCACATACATCATAGGAAAATTCTCCAGAGATCACCTAACATAAATTGCTCCAAACAAAATACGCTTTAACTATAGAGTTCCTTTGATTGACCTACCGAAAAGAAAGGCACACCTCGTTGGTATAGGTAGTACTTTTCAATTTTTTTTAAGCCTTTCTAAGCCATCCTATACTCAAAATCGCTTTCATTCGAATGTGACTTAGATTCATTCATGTACCTCTCCTTTACTCGAGTGTCACAATGCAAGCTCATTATACCTCAAAGCAAAAATGAACCAGTGCAAGCTAGCAAAAAAATGATACTTCATGAAATCAAAGGGGCAAGTAGAAAGTACTACAAAGATCCCTAAGAATGATGGAATCAATAGTGCAGAATCACTATACCTTCAAAGCGCAGTCAACTCTTGTCATTAATACTTTCCCTGGGTGCACAGCATTAGGTCCATTGAAAAGCCTCGCAACTCTTTCATAATGGGGCTACAGGTTGATGTTCAACCAAAAAGCAAGATTAGATAACTTGTAGCTATAGCTCTTGAACATAAATTTGAGCATATGAATATGATGTCTAACCTTATAGTTTCTGCAAGCAGGGCACCTACAAGAGTAACAATTAGAACACATCACAAGTGTACTTGAACAGAAGCATTGAGATTTCTTTAAATAACAAATCACATGTGTATTTTGATTTCAACATTCTACCGTTTGAGTTCTCGGAAGGTAAAAGAAAAGACATCACGAGTCATATGACATGGGCAAAATAGTTCATTGGATTACTCTTCTATAAGAAGCTACGGGCTTTCCCCATAATCCACAATTCCAGAGGAGTATGAGCAATATCCGTTGCTTGGCAACAGATTTCACTGAACACTAACTAAAAAATCAGCCACGAACACCACCCATTGTTATTCTATCATTCTAGCTTTGCACCGGTAAACGATCATACGTAGACCAAGAACTGAATGAGGTGCCAAGGTTTCTCAAAATGACAAATAAATTCACATACTAAGCGACACTCAAATTTCCGTAGCTCCCAATCCAAGCAGCAAAACATGCAAGTACAACAACTAGAAAGAAAATCGCCGAACAATTTCAAATCAACAAACATGTGAGAGAAGGAAAAGAACTCCTAACCAGTGAGCAAAGAATTCAACGACTGCAAAGGTGGCTGGAGCATCCCTAAAAACCGCATCGAAATTGGTGGCGTTCAAATCAATGGCGTAGTCTTCAGAATCCCCGTTCTTATCAGCAACCGTTCTAAGGATCGAACGCGATCCCAACGAAGTTCCAAACCTCAACGCACTCAGACACACAATCAAAACCAAAAGTGTCCGAGACATTGAAATGAACCACCGGCTGCAATAAATGATTCAAACAAGGAGGGAAGAATCCGCAGAGGATCTAACAAAATTTAAAAAAGGAAGTATGATACTAAGAGAAATTAATGGATTCAACAGATAAATGATGGAGACTGGTGGATAAATTTAAGAGAGAGAGATCTGAGAGAAAAAGGAAGAATATGCCGTTGCCGGAGATGTAGGGATGTGAAAAGGACCTCCGACAGTCGGCAATGGTAGGGAGACGAGTATAATACACGCGCGGGAAAAAGAGTGGGCTTTACGTCTGAGCGCGGGGTCATGTCATCCGCGCCTTTTCGCTCATCTTTGGACAAACGGCACCAGCCGGTTAAATAAATGAAAATAGAAATTAAACAAAATTATATTATTATTATTATTATTATTATTATTTAAGTTTGAATTTTTTAAAATTACTTTAACATTATATTACTTTTTGTGAAATATTTATCGATCTATTATGATTTTTTTTTAATTTTAATAGAAATTATATTATAAAATAGGAATTATTACAAAAATTCATTTTATTTTTTTAAAAAAAACATAAAAATGGAGGAAATTTTGAATCTAAAAATAAATTAAAAATTTTGTAAAAATAAAAAATAAAATAATTTTTATTAAAAAATTAAAATGTTTTAATTACACGTGTCCCATATTCGTCAGGTTTATTATTGTAACAAAATTCATCAATTATTTTTATAATTGTTTTGATTATTATTATTATTATTTTTTTAATTACACACATTTTTCACGACCCGCCTTAAAAATTGGGCCAACCATGCGTTTTAATTGGGCTGGGCTTTTATACTTCGGCCCATAGTTCTTAAAAAGGCTGTAAACGACGTCGTTCGGAAATCACGACCCAACAACCACCGGTCACCAATACATACCCGAAAATTCCCGGTAGAATATTCGAATATAGGGCTCATAGAACCCATTTTCGAGAGTTCTGTAACCTGTTCAATTCCATCACAATAATCAGATTTTGGATATAAACCAGTCGTTTACTCGTCAAATACATCTTCGTTCGAGCGCTTTTGATTGCAAGGTGTGCTCTCAATTCATGTTAGATTTGTTTACATTTCGTTCGATTGCTCGTTTGGGGATCTTTTTTGTTCGTTTGGTGGTGATTTGTTTTTGTTGAAAAATCACTGTACGTTCTCCTTGTTATTGATATTTTTGGGGAATTTTTAATTCAATCAAGGTGTGTAGGGATGAATATTAGATTGCTGTGCTCATTCGGAGCCAAAAAGGTTTCACGGGGATTGAAATGTTAGTTCTAGGGCGAGCTTGATTTAAGAATCTAATTCATTAGTTTTGAAGGACATTGCGTGATGCGAGGGTGAATTACTGGCTTGAGAAGAAGTGGATTATTAGATGAATATTAGGTTGCTGTGCTCATTCGGAGCTAAAAAAGGTTGCACGGGGATTGAAATGTTAGTTCGAGGGCGACCTTGATTTAAGAATCTAATTCATTAGTTTTGAAGCACATTGCGTGAAGCGAGGGTGAATTACTGGCTTGAGAAGAAATGGGTTATTAGATGAAAGTGGCAGCCTTCGTTCTCGTGCAGCATTTTAATTTCATGTTTTTTTTAATAAATTTTAATTTTGTTTTAGAAAAATTCTTGCCGTTACTTTGATAATTTGGTCCATTATGAAGATTCTTTCTAATTTCATGTTCACTCCTTGTGATCGGCTTCGATTGTTACTGCCTTTTGCTTTTATTAATTTTACTTGCTGGTGATTTTTGCGTACCATTACTAGCATGGGTTCTATAGCAGTGTAGTTTGATACGTGATTCAATATGAGTTAGTATGCTACTGGGTCATTACCTGATTTCTCGGTTAAGATGATTGTTAATTTATTAGAAGTGTATTCCATATTACCAGTTTTTCCAATGGTTGGTGACTTTTATAATAGGTTCTTGATCATCTCGTATTGTTCTTAGCAGACCCAAAGTTTTATACATTATATTTTTTATATTTACATATAATGCTCTGTTATATGCAATCATAAAGATCAACTGCACTATTGAAGGCGAATTTGCACCAAACTACCCAGGAGTAAGCACGGAAGTTTCTGTATCTGCCCGCAAGTTAGCCAATGAAGTTCCTAGAATACACCCCGTTTGATAGGTTTGTCTAGTGAAATCAAATCATGGTCTATTTCAATGATTTTCCCTTCTCATATTTTCTTCAGGCACGTTTTTTTTTTTTTTCCTTTCTCTTACTCAAATTTGAATTTTGCATGACTGTTGTTATAGGTTGAATGATTTCTTGAGCCATTTGAATCTTGGAGAACGTACTATCAAGGGATGCCTAGAAGCTTATTCTTGTAAGAATATGTGTGCTTGGGTGCATAACTGTAAATTTATGCTCATCTGGTCTATATATTTAAGATTTCTTGAAATGTAAACTTTCATTATTTTTTTATGTTTGTTAAGGTAAACATACAGGAATAGACAAGAAACTATCTTTAAGCTTGGAGAATGAGGTAAGGATGTTTCAATCTATTTATGACATGGTTGTTTATTTCTCACTTCTTGTCGTATGTTGTTAAAAAGCCCTTAAAACATTTATTGGAAGCTTATCCTCATTAGTATATACCATTAGACTCATGGTAATAACGGGCTACCTTGCCCGTTCAAACTGCACAACTTTCAATTTTGATGTGTATGCTGTTGCATATTAAATGCATACATATGTGAATGTGCTGCCATATGTTTGAAGTGGAAAAATATTCGCAGCTGGTTTCTTATTGTTTGTCTTCGACTTCTTCAGATTCTTGACTATCTTGGGAAATCATCTGATGCAGACTCTTCTTCACCAGATGAATTTTTATTGAGCAGATCAAGGTATTGAATGCCAACTTGGATATGATGTCCTTGGTGGTTATTGTATTATATGGTTCTTTGACAAGTTTAACTTCATGGCAGCCGAAAAACTCTGATATACTTGGTTCTCACCCTCAATCATGTGTACCCGGATTATGACTTCAGGTATCTCATATCTGCCAAAATGATCGTGCACCACTTCATGCATGCCATCATTAGTTTTTGTAAAGAACTATGACGGAGGATTATGGGTAATGCTACTGTCAGCTTATTGGGCGACATGGCAACCCACTTTATATTCCTCCTTGTAAAAATTGTATTGGGAGTGTTGTCAAAAGGAATGACAGACAGTTTCAATGAACTGTTGCTCTAGGAGCTGAGAGTTCAAGTCTCTCCATTTCCAAGTCTAATACTCTCCAGTTAGTGCGTTGGTGCTGAACTTTTGCATTATCTGAATTATACTGAAGTTTCTGTAGTTTCATTGTGCTTCCTTACTATGATATTTGCCTACATTTCTGTTGTTTACTAGTGCAATGCAAGCACACCAGTTCTTTACAGAGGAAAGCTGGGACAGTTTCAAACAGATCTTTGATGCGTACATGTTAGAAGCATCTAAGGTACTATTTCTGTGGGCACACTTGTTTGTGCTAATTGATGTCGTGAGATGTCCGTGTGAATACATAATAACCTAGCAACTCAAGTATTAATTTTCTAGCATGGTTTGGGTGTTATTGAAGATTATTTTTGCTTAATTAGCTTCTGTTAAATTCTCCCTTTCCTCGAATGTGGAGTAGGCTGCAATTTTACTTTCATTTTTTTTCCTGTTAGTTTGGGCAGCCATGAATATCTGCACGAAAATTCACCATCTTATTTCTTATACGCTCAATTGGTTTGGGATCAAAATATGTCTACGTACTTTTGGATCTTTTGTTGATTTGAATGTTTATGGAGATGTGGCTATTATTATGGTTGATTTTTCATTGTGAGAACTGGAGAGGAGAGGTTTGGGCCCCTAATGTGGTGGCAGATTTCTATATCATAGTATTTAGCAATAATGTCTTGTTGATGAAGAACTCATTTTCCAACAACTTCTTGTTGATACGTTCGTACATCCTCGAATACCGATTGCAGGAATGGGTTGAGAATAATGAGGGTGGTTCCTTACTTGATATGACATATAAGGCTCTTGATGAGGTATGTGTGGTCTAAATGGATGTAGATGGCGATATTAGGCATATTAACAACCCCTTGCCTTGCACGTGCAGGTTGTAAAACTAGCAGAATGTGAAATTTACAGTTACAACCCGAATTCTGATGCGGATCCGTCCATAGAGAGGGGGGCAACGTATGTGTATTTCGATTTATATTGTGGCCTAAAATGTTAGTTCAATATCTAGGAATGTATATATGTATGTAACCTTTGGTATATTTGTTGTGTGCTTCATCAGATGGTCCTTCAATTTCTTCTTTTATAATCGAAAGTTAAAGCGTGTCGTTAGCTTCCGCTTCTGGTGTTTAAGGTACGCTATGCTTAGTTGCTTGCTCCAAAACTTTCAACTAATTTATAACGACCGTTATATTTATCATCAGCTTTGGTGTGGCAGTAATTTGATGGCTGAGGGATTCCATTTGGACGGGAGAGCCTACGAGGAAGATGAAGATATCTTTGATAACATGGATATCTAAGAAGACATACTCCTGTAAGGTATCTGTGCATAAATGAAGACTTGTGTGCATGCATGCATCGCTAATTCTCGAGACCTTACTACTGAATCCATATGGTTTCGGTGTTGGCTCAACCCTTTCGCTTGATCTGTGTTTGTATGGTGGGATGACGTTTATTCTCGTATATAGGAATAAATTGTACAATCCGTCCCCGACCCCTAGATGTAACGTAACGATAGAGAATCGACGAGGATTATGAGCTGTTGTGATATATTATGTATGCAAATATATTGAAGAGACTTATCTCTGAGGTAATATGATGCAGAATGTTCAGTTTTTTGTACCTAAAAAATGACTACTAGATAGTAGATATTACCTTAATGAACGTGCGCGACATGAACGTTCAATATATTCATTACTAGTTTGTAGAGTTGGTAACTTTAGATCACTCTTCGTAGCGTTTGCATTCTAAAATATACATATCCAATTCCACTCATCTATTTTTTTAAGATTAAATTTTCGAACATTATAGATTAAACATATATTTAGTCTATTTTTCTTGTCAATAAAAGTTTAATAAATTATATATTTGTTTTCATATAGCCTTGTAACACTAAGAATTTGATTTGATTTGATTTATTGACTGTTTTATAATGAATTAATATTTTAGTGATAACACATGTTTGTTTAACCTATAACTTATTCATCAAATTATCTCGTTAATAATTAGAAATTAAATTAGTTTAGGGTGATTTGATTGACGTGCAAGTCTTTCGTCTATGTATCGACTATCGGGCCCATAACAACACTAAAAATCAAAAAAGAGCCCGCGGCGGAAAGACACAAGTCGTCCATCTCGACGTGATATATGAATTGTTCAGTAGTGCTTCGCCCCAGCGGGAGGTCCGCACAACAGGCTATTAGCTCAATGGCCCGCCTCGATTCTATTCGTATATATTATCAAGTCTTCACGTTACGTTTACCCTTCGCCATTAAATAAAATTTTAAGGGTCTTTAGCCTAAAAATATTTTTGTAAATAATATATTGAGTAGAATTTAACAATTTAAAAAGCTTGAAATAATTAATTATCAGTTATTAGAATGAAATTTGATTAAAATTTAATTTAGGGAGGCGGAGGAAAGGAAAAGGAAAGAGAAGAGCACGTGGTGAACGGTGGCGGCAGAGAACGCGTAGAGCATGAACGTCTTTTCTGTCTATAAAAAGGGCCCTTTGCTCCCCAATTCGGTCATCCACCGGGCGTTTCTGGAAAGGTGAACTTGAGTCGACGCGAAGTCAAACAGAACCCTAACCATCTCCTTCTTCGTTATTCGATCTTCCGATTTCTCTTGCAATCTTGTTTCCCCTCTCCTTCAGGATCAGGTACGGTTCCAATTCCTAATTATGTCCCTTGCTCATCATGTCTAGCGATGGTTTTCTGTTCTTCGTCTTTTTCCGTTTTAGATAGATCTGAGTTTTATGGATGGTTGATTCTGTTGCTTGATGCGTTTATAAACTTGCGAGTAATCTTGTGGTATGGATCGCGTGTTGATGTTTTTCTTTTTCTAGTTTAGAGTTATTCTGAACAAAACCTCTTTTGCCAAGGGTTTTGGGTCCTTTGTTTTTGGGGTTTTACGTGAATTGTGCTGCTTATGTTCTTAATGTACGTGTTTTGGCGCTAATACGTTTGTGGCTGACAAGTTGAAGTTGATCAAAACCAAGATTGGAAACATCGTAGAAGAATTTTCTTAGTTTTGCAATTATCGCCACGGAACTTACCTTTTTCTGATGAATGTATGTTGGTAAATTCTTGTTAGAACAATTGAGATTAAATTATATGATGTTTTGGGTATCAACTGGGTCTTGTTTCAACTTAGCTAGGTATATGAATGATCATAGTGGTTGGTGTCTTATGTCAAATTGGCTAGCTGAATGGTTGGTCTCTATGTCAAGTTGCATTGGTTATTATGTGCTTCAGCTACTTGAATCATTTTCTGCTCGGCATGTTATATGTATTTTTGTAACGGCCTAAGTCTACCGCCAGCGGATATTGTCCTCTTTAAGCTTTCCTTTTGGGCTTCCTCTCAAGTTTTTTAAAATCCTTCTGTTAGGGAGAGGTTTCCACACTATTATAAAGGGTGTTTCGTTCTCCTCCCCTAACTGACGTGGGATCTCACAATCTACCCCTTTTGGGGCCAGCGTCCTCGTTGGCACTCATTCCCCTCTTCAATCGATGTGGGAGCGCTCAATCCACCCCCCTTCGGCTCTGCCTCTTGTCAACCCCCTTCGGGATTCAGCTTTCTCGCTGGCACATCGCCTAGTGTTCGGCTCTAATACCATTTGTAACGGTCCAAGTCCACTACTAGTAGATATTGTTCTCCTTGGGCTTTCCCTTTCGAGCTTCCCCTCAAGGTTTTTAAAACGCGTCTATTAGGGAGAGGTTTTCACCCCTTATAAATGATGTTTTGTTCTCTTCTCCGACAGATGTGAGATGTCACAATTTTTTTGTACGAGAAAGTAGCATCCTACGTTATCTTTTGTGTTTGTTGAAATTGGATATAATTGCAATATAGCAGAGATGTTATTGAAGTGCATATTTTGATGGGAAGAACTAACATTGTTTTTTCTCTTCTGTGAGATGCACTTCCGGCCATTGTCATACCAAAATGCAGGTATTGAGCTGGTTTTTGTATCTGAATGGACACCAAGAAATTCTTCCAATTGGTTGAGGAGAAGAAGAAGAGAGCTTTGGAGAAGAAGGAAGCTCCATTGAAATGGGAACAAAAACTTGAAGCTGCGGCCAAGGCAAAGGCTGATCATGAGGGAGGACGGAGAGCAGGTAAGCGAATTCATAGGAAGCACAGGAAACATAGCCACTCTGATTCAGGTGACTATGAGAAGATGAAGGATAGAAAATCCAAGAGAAAACCGAAACGTCGTCGCTCGTCTAATGATGTCAGCAGCGATGAAATTGGTGGCCACTCTGAAGAAGATAGGAGGAAGAAGAGAAACCATAGAAGACATATTCATGATGATTCAAGTTCCGATGAAAGTTACTCCGGTTCTTCTAACGATGATATTGAGACAACTAAAAGAAGTCACTCCCGGCGTCACAAACATCATAGGCGACCTAACTATTCATCATCTGACGATTCTAGCAGTGAGGATGATACTAGTTTGCGAAGGAAAAGGCATGTAAGGCACCACAGGCCCCACCATCGACACGGGCAATCCCATCGATCGTGTAGTATCGATTCTTTAGATTGTAATTATGGCAGGCATGAGGCTAGAAGCCAGTCTTCAGGGAAGTCATCTGACGATAATCATGAAGAAGAATCAGCACTACAATCTCGGCACAAGAGAGAAAATCACCATCACAAACATCGGCACCACCATCATTCAGGTGAGAACAAGCATTCATTCAATGGGTCGACCAAGATAGATGAAAAATATAACGACGATGACCCTGATGGAAACAACCACGATCGTTCCAAGAATCCTCATTAACCTCGTAATGATTCTGATATTGGGTTGATCATTCCAGGATTCCGGCTGCATATGTTTGTTTTATGTGGATTGCTTCTGAATGGCTTGTTGCTTGTAATTTAGGCATTACAATTATATATCACATTATATAGGCCGCACGACTCTTGGCTGCTAATTCTACAGCTACTCCATTCCTATAGTTATAACCTAAATCTTTTGATTAATCTTTTGATTAATCTTTTGCTACTCTGATACACTTGCACTGCGTGAATATTTGAGGACTCGCACCAGAATAAATGAATTTTTCTGGAAAATCTGCTAGTGAAAGACCTCTCAAGGAATAGAGATATTAGGCTAAAGAGAGTCAAAAGAGGATCTTTCCAATGTTATCGGTTTCGGTACATAGACTAAATTATACAATGTGAGCAAAAGTTAATAGATTCATGGCAATATAGAACCGTGTATAAGTTATCATGCTTGCATATCCACCATTTGAGTTTCCAACAATTATTCCAATAATTATATATTTGATTAGACCGAGGTCGAGTCGGGTTAAGTCAAATCTTACCTTACCCTCCATAGAAAACGCTAACGTCTTGATTTGAGACAATGCTTCGACAATGTCAAATCCGGAATCACTTAATTTGTCAAGTATGATGATCATGGTGGCTTTAGGTTTCTACCATTCCTTTGTCAATTTGTACACTTCCACATTTTTTACCTAAAGGGTGTTTCAAGTGGTTGGCAACCAAATATAGCATAAAAACGTTAGCAACAGACGAGCAAAATCACTCAATTTGGAATTGGCAAGGTATTAGCATCAGTCCAGAAAATTCTGGTCATATATATAGTGTTCATCTTCTAGTCCCTAAAATACTTTTATTATGTAGTTCAAGCTGAGGTGCGTACCTTCATCAGTAGGGTGAAAAAACGAATATAAACATCTTTGACCAAATTGATGATACAACAATACTATACTCTCCTTGTTTGTTCAAAAATTCTTTAGTATCTTCTCACTAGAGACTCCATCTGCTAAAAGAATTGACGTAACTTCCTGTAAAGAAAGACAAGAAAAACGAAGCGCTTGCGTTAGAGATCATCTCTTTAGTCGAGCCGAGACATTACACAGAATGACTTGCGTTCAAAAGTATCAGATTTATGATTCAAGTTAGAAATCTTTTCAAGAATCATAGAACAATCCAGAGATAGCAATGAACTAAGGGGTGATAATAACCATGGCGCAGAGACTACCTCAGCCATCTGTTTCTGACCACAGAGTATGACACCAGTAGAGAGAGGGTCGAAAGCTTTCTTTGCTCTAGTGAAGGCAGCCTATAACAAGAACAAAAACATTTCGTTCCCATTAACAAAAATTCCTACGAGTTCAACAGAAGTAGGACGTCTAAGGTCAGACCACACCTACCTGGACATAGCCACTTTCACCAGTCCAATCATTTTCAGGTTGTGACAATACTGGCACGACCTTAATACCAGAAGACTCCCAATCTTTAAATCTATCCTATAAAAGGAAGAAACAAATGAATTTCATAGATCTTGTTGGGTAGATGGTAAGCTGCAATGCAACAAGCAAATACTGACTAAACCTGATAAGCCATCCTTTTGAGGTTTCTTGCCCCATAATATAGCCTCACATCAGACCTCTTAACCGCCCCGAAGCCCGACTCAATTAGAGATCGTATTGGACTAAACAAAAATAGATAAGTAAACAGTTAGACCAGTAAAGCAAATGAAAAAGTAAACAAACTGAAGTTAGTTCCTACAATTGACGGATCAATATTGTTCACAAAAAATATACCAAAGTTCTTGAGGTGTGGAATAACTGGCACATTGAGCAGCAAATGAGTGTATCAACACTCACGTTGTATGTGTGATTGTGTACTTCAAAACGTTAAAATAAAAAATGAAGTAGGAGAAGCAGTAGAGTGAATCGTTCGACAAGGACTAGTAACAAATAAAATCAAATGAAATGCTAGACCTATTAACACCATCTTATCCTATAGCTAAGGAATGCACCACCAGGGTACTCGGCCTATCAAGGTAATGAAAAACTAGACTAATAACCATGTCACGTCCTACATAAGAAGCCGATTACCAATTAAGAAAATATAATATCTCAATATCTTCACCCAAAGCCCACAAAATACGAGTAGGTTGTGTCCAAATAATTAACATGAAAATCATAAATGTGGCCTTTTTTTTTATATATATTTTGAGAAGTATAGAAGGCTTACTTAAAGGTTCATACAAAGAGGAAATATTCAAGATATATAACAAATTCTACCACTGAGAAATCACTACAAAAAAAAAAAAAAAAAAAAAAAAACAAATAAGGTTATAAACTGTGACAATGCCCCCGTTTCTCTTCTTTAGGGAGTGGAGGAGCAGACAGTGGTAATGTTGGAATCTACCAGAGTCCCTAACAAGGACAACAACGAGGCATTGAAGAGGGAATCTATTCACCTAATTACATTTACAGCCCTGACTTCTAACTTCACTGAATTGATAATCCACAATGTTTCTAATCTAAATACATAAGATATCACAAATTGAGCGCTGAACACACTTAACTTTAGAGTTCCTATGATTGCGCCACCAAAAAGAAAAGTGCACTTTGATGATATAAGTAATTAGTTTTAGTTCTTTTAAGCATTTCTTAACCATCCTATCCTTAGAATCACTCTCATTCTAATCTGGTCTTGGTTCGTTCACGTATCCCTCCTTTAATTGGGTGTCACAATGATAATAATTTTGGTGAAGTGAACTCTGCACAGCAGCAAAGTTTAGACACATTCAAACTACTTAATTTGAACAATCTTTGAGACAAAATTGATCTTGACCTCATCTCAAACATATACTCCCTTTTCGAACCGTAGGCTGCATCAATGCCTTTAGAGTTTAGACAGTCTGCCACATTGAATCGTGATTCTGTTAGTGAGGAAGACAGAGAAATATTTACATGTAAAATCTCCTGAGATTCAAAATTCCTGTGTTTCCCATCAACTAGCTGCCCGTTCTTTAGGCTATTCAATAACCTCCAATAGGTCTCTAGCCCTTGTTATGACAGGTTTTGAATCATAAGATGATACTATAAGGGAGATTATTTGAGTGTTTATGTTAGCTTCTGATAAATTTCTTCAATCTTGCTTGCAGTTATCCACAATGCAGACACATGTCAGACATATAAACAATGCAAAACATGAACGGCTCTCATTTTTTACATACTTTTGTCTAGGAACCTGATCAACATCTGAGTTCCAAGCAAAGAAACTACTATCACAAACTGCCTTAATGGTTGTTCTACTCAAACCTTCCCATCCCTTAATAAACCACTTTAAACCACCACTTTTAGCTCTTCGCTTTCTGCTTTCTACACCAGGAGCTAAAGCTAAAGGAAACAAATTCAATATATAATCTTGCTATGCCTGTATGCATTCGAGTTTCAAAATCTTCCAAGTCCAATTCGTTCTTAACTAGAAATTTAACAAAGAACCTACAACTAGAAAGCAAGGCATGGGGAAAAGCGAAGCTTAGGAGACTAAACTTCTGCAACGAGAATAAGTGGCGCACCTGATTGCAGATCCAGTGGCAAAAATGAAAACGGTTGGGTAATTCTGCGGCGGCGCGATTTGATCGACATCGAATCCGCTTCCCATGACCTGATTGAGTTGCACGACATCTCCTTTCTTTAATCCACATAAAAGCTCAGCGATCGATCCCTCCACGTTTTTCACGAGGAACTGAAACACGCCTTCCGAAGACGCAAGAGATGGAGGAGACGCGATGGCTAGGAACGTCGGTTTCTCCACGTCAGGGACACGAAGCTGCAGGTACTGACCAGCACGCGTGTGTGAAGCAACGAGGTCCGGCGCGTCGGACACGTCTATGGAAACGTGGAAGAGAGACTCGGCAGCGGGCTCGACTTCGATAAGAGGAGCGTGGGTCCAAGAAGCAGTATCCTGGCGTACGGCTGCAGCAGCCGCGGTGGCGAATCGTCTGGGAGGTTGAGGGATGTTGAATCTAAGACGGCCGGATGTCAGGCGGCGGAGGAGAGACATGGAAGAGTGGGGAGGGGGAAAGAGAGCATGGGGAAGAGAAGAGGAAGCGGAAAGGGAAAGAGTTGAGGAAATGGAGAAAGACATGGCCACGGAGCTTTTTGATATAATTTGGAGTTTGGGCGTTAATGGCGGGGAAGGGACAAAGCCGACCGGTGACTTCGGCGGGAAGGTAGGTTGCGATGGGTGGCGATTGAATAAAACGCGCCGCTAAAAGCAATAATCGAGTGGGGGCGAACTTATTTGAAGTTACACGTGGCGAGATATGAGACGATATTAGATCGATTTGCCTTTGTTTGGAGCATTCTCGGGCGCTTGATAGGTTGAAACTTGAAGGTACGGAAGTAATTTTTAATTTTAAAATTATATAATTTTTTTATTAAAAAATAATTAATATAATTTTTCCTATTTTAATATTTTCATATCACTCACCGTTTATATTGTAAAACAAATTTGTAAGAATTTAAAAAGAAAAAAGAAAATTACAAAAGTATAATTCACCAACTTTAAAATTAAAGTATAATTCACCAATCATTTTTAAAAAAAGTATATTATATTTTATATTGAAAAAAGGTATATTATATTTTAAATTTTATATTTTATATTGAATATATTTCAAAGATATGTTTGACAAATTAAAAAGAAAAAAAAAATCAATTTGTGTATCAAATTCAAAAATTTTACCAAATAATTTAAAAACTCCAATTTTTTGTTTTAAAAAACACTACTTATCATTTAAAATTTTAATTAAGATCGATTAATTGTGCGGCAACTAACTTTCCAACGATAAGTGAGCTAAGCCAATTCGTTCTTACGTCGCCTACGGCCAAGCGAGGTATGCTCGAGCCTCTGGTCTCGATTTTAATATGCTCGAGCTTTTGGCCTTGATTTTAATTAGAAAATTAGGGCAGTGAGAGATTTTCGAAAGATACGTTGTATAAGCAAACAAGAGAGAAATAACAACAGCTCACGATATATAATCTTGGGTAGGGACAAGTGAGTCGATTTTTAGAGACAAGTGAGCCATGCAATAGTTTGTAAAAAGTGATTTTAGATACGAGAAAATGAAATAGCAATTTTATTTTTTAGATATTCATTAGAGATATCTATTTACTAGATTGGAAACTCACGGGTTCCCAAACAAATAGGTGCAAGTTCTCAAGAAATGATGAAAGATTTTTCTTCATTATCTAAACATCCGACACTCACTACTCAACAACAAACGAAAGCGGAATTCCTGATTATTCAGAACTTAATCCAATCTTATGTACGGGTTAATCTAATCTGACAGATCCTACTATTTTCCACAGTAATTCTGATTTATTGGCAAAGAGACGAAGAAATGGATTCATCATTCAATTTGAATCGCACTTTTAATGACAGCGGACTTGCAATTGTGCGGCACTCACTTTCCAACGATAAGTGAGCTAAGCCAATTTGCTCAAAAAAAAGATTTTAAAAAACGGGAGCAAAGAGATATGGAAAGAGTTTTGAAAAAAAGATTTTGAGAAATTAAAATTGATGTTATATGGGAATGTAAGGGGAAAGGTATTCTATTGTATAAAAGAGGGTTCGATAATAAGGTAAGAAAGTTGTCGTGAAAAGGGAAAAATTGTACATGTCCTGTCCTGTCCTGTCCTGTTTCCTCCCCTTATTAAAGAAAAAAAAAACAGACACAAGAAAAGCAATGGTGGGAGGGGGCGGAGGAAGAAAGCCGCCGACGGCAAGGCTGGTGGAGAAAAACCCTCTCTTTCGGACTAAAACAACAAAGCAGAAGATCTCTGGTTCCGTTACACCGCAACAAAATGGAAAAAAAATTGAAAAAGGCTCTGTTGCTGGCATCGCCAACACATCATCTAAATTATTAATTTTCATAATTATCAAAAGAAAAAAAGAGTCAACTAAGCAGCAGATTCCCTCGCAATCTTCTCTGCTTTGGCTATCACTTCCTCAATTCCTCCGACCATGTAAAACGATTGCTCTGAAAGATCGTCGTACTTTCCATCCAACACACCCTATTCATACAAACAAACAACAGTAATAAACCCATTATTAGTTCCTAGTTTATCCATTTTCGAGTGCATCGACAACGATGAGTTGATGGGATTGTTGCATGATTCAGCTGGGAGAACTCCCCAAATGAAGACTGAAAACAAACAAGTAATCAACTGAAAGGATTGAGTGATTTTGAAGGTACCTGGAAGCTGGTGATACTCTCTTTCAAGTCGACGTATTTTCCAGGAGCACCCGTGAAGACTTCTGCAACGTGGAAAGGCTGACTCAAGAACCTTTGGATCTTACGTGCACGTGCAACCGTCAACTTGTCATCTTCACTAAGCTCATCCATACCCAAAATGGCAATGATATCTTGCAAGTTCTTGTAGTTTTGAAGGACCTTCTGTACTCCACGAGCAGTGTTGTAGTGTTCCTCTCCCAAAATGTGAGGAGAAAGCATACGAGATGTAGAGTCCAATGGATCGACAGCAGGATAAATACCAAGCTCAGAGATCTGTTTACATGAAATGAGTCAGATAAAGTGGAATTAAAATAGAAACCATCTCGGAAATGGAACTGATTGCACCTGTCGTGATAACACAGTTGTGGCGTCCAAGTGAGCAAATGTGGTAGCAGGAGCAGGATCTGTCAAGTCATCAGCAGGCACGTAGATAGCTTGAACTGAGGTGATAGAACCTTTCTTTGTGGTTGTGATACGCTCTTGAAGGCCTCCAAGATCAGTTGCCAAGGTTGGTTGGTAACCAACCGCAGATGGGATACGACCGAGCAAAGCAGACACCTCTGAGTTAGCCTGTGAGCCAGCAGAAGAAGAAACGTTATAACAAGATAAGATATTGATAAGAATCTCAACATGTCAATGGCACGGCTGGATCTTGATGACACAGACCATGGATAAGATCCTCAGTAGGCAGGCTTACCTGGGTAAAACGGAAAATGTTGTCAATGAAGAGAAGCACATCTTGCCCTTCAGCATCACGGAAGTGCTCAGCCACAGTAAGTCCAGTAAGACCAACACGAGCACGAGCACCCGGGGGCTCATTCATTTGACCGTAGACAAGGGCACACTTGCTTTCAGCCTACAATTACTCATTTTGTAGGAAAGAAAATCAGGGAAAAGAAAGGGAGATGAAGAAATTCATCGTGATCAAAGCCATTGATACCTGCTTGTCACCTAGCTTAATCACACCACTTTCAATCATTTCCCTGTACAAGTCATTGCCCTCACGAGTTCGTTCACCGACACCAGCAAACACAGAGAAACCACCTGATCAAAGGAGAACATTAAGCACTAATGAACGAAAATAGTAGTAAAGCATTATATGTAAAAACGAAAATAGTAGTAAAGCATTATATGTAAAAACGAAAATAGTAGTAAAGCATTATATTGAAAGTATTTCACAAAACAAACCATGAGCTTTAGCGACATTGTTAATAAGTTCCATAATGAGCACAGTTTTTCCTACACCAGCACCACCAAACAGTCCAATCTTTCCACCTCTTTGGTATGGCGCAAGAAGGTCAACAACCTATAACCAACAAGCAGTATACATGACTTCATTGCACACAGAGCAACATTTGTCAAGTCATCCAAGTATATAATATAAACTAATCTACATTCATCATTGTACCTTGATTCCAGTGACAAGAATCTGCTGTTCAGTTGCCTGCTCAACAAATGCGGGAGCTTCTCTATGAATCGGAAGGAAGTGGTCGGTCTCTGTTAAAACACCACATAGTTATTAATCTTATATGCCAAACCCAAATTAATATCTATAATTCTTTGCGTGATTTCATGATTTCTTACTAATATCGCCTCTCTCGTCAATGGGTTCTCCAATAACGTTTATGATACGGCCAAGAGTAGCCCTACCAACAGGCACCTGTCAAGTTTTTAAAAATTAGTAAAAAATTAGTAAAGAAAAACGTCTTAAAATATGAAGAAAATGAAGGGCTAAAAACATAAACAACCAATAAAGAAATTGCCCAAAAGGTAAAACGTAATATATAATAGGGAAACAGGAGCTAAATATCATAAACGCATGACTTTTTGATCAGTGGAAGAGGCAATCAAACTCAAAAACGTGCAGAAGCTGCAACAGTCAACAGAAACATACAAAAGTAGATGAACACACAGCGCTCTACCAATCCACCATTTAAAAAAATGGTCAAATGGATCACGAAATTTGATATAAATTAGATAACGTTGAAATCTCATCTATTAAGCATCAGCCTATTTTAAAACTAAAATAGGATCACATAAGAACAGGTCTATAGAAGACTTTCTATACACTGACGCTATCATGTCGAGAAGAAATCAATCGATCACAAACTCAGTCATAACTTAATTACTGGATTGCAATTACCTAAAACTTCCATCCATATCCACTTATCCAGCTAAATTTCGCTACATAAATCATGCGTTGCTTATAAATTCACAGACAATGAAATGATAACAAGTGGATCTGAGGATATCATTGATCACCAACCCCACGTCATGCGAAACAAAAATCAATTTCAATTCATTCATACCAACACCGATATAACGATACAAAAAAGTCAAAACGTAAATAAACAACAAAACGCCATTAAACCTAACCAAATCGGTAGCGATTATGCAAATACCAAAACTTACAGTGATAGGAGAACCAGTATTGAGCACGCGCTGTCCTCTAACAAGCCCTTCAGTCCCATCCATAGCAATAGTCCGAACCATATTCTCCCCCAAATGCTGAGCGACCTCGAGCACCAAACGGATCGAGTTGTCAAGAACCTCAAGAGCAGTAAGAATAGGCGGCAATCCTTCATCGAATCTCACATCGACAACGGCACCGATCACCTGACACACCTGTCCAACCGCACCGGCACCAGTAAACTCATCGGTGATCTTTCCTCCTTTGCCAACATCCTTCGCCGGAGGCGAAGGTGTCGGAGGCGCAGCCGCCGCAGCAGAAGTCGCATACTCAGCAACGCGATTGAGAATATACCCGTAAGGAGAAGCGCGCGACGTTGTGGTGAGTGAAATTCGTGGATTGGGATTCGAGAACGGAGATCTGGAGGAAGCTCTACGAGCGGATGATCTGAGAAGAGATGAGAGAAGTCTACGTGAAGCCATCGCTAGGGCTTCAGAGAGTTGAGGAGTGAGAAAGAAAGGAGAGAGACAAAGAAAGCTTCAGGGCTTAGATCGACTCACTGGCTTTATGGTGTTCCGCTTCATCAATGGTCACCAAGCCCAAAATTGGAATATTTTTTTTTTATTTTTTACTTTTTCTTTCTCGCGTTAAAATTGCCTCTTTATAGGAACCATACGAGGCTTTACCAGAAAAGTGCGGACAATCATCGAACGGTGTCGTTTTTCTATCTTTTCCGTTTGAATTAGGTTTACCTGATGACGTGTCGGTTTATGTGTCATTGGTCACCCCACTAAACCAGGAAACTGCAACAAAAAGTCAGAACTCTCACGGGCTGAACTTTTGGCCCACTAGGGCCCATTTAGGCCCATTGGGCTATGACGTTGAGAGATAAAATAAAATTAATTAATTAATTAATTAATTATGATTTTTTAGAGATAATTTAAATAAATTTAAAAGAAAAAAAAGGTTTTAATAGACGGAATTTTATAAACTTAAAAATTTATAGAACAAATTTAATATTTAACCAAAATTTAATATATTCATTTAAGTATTATTAAGATTAAACTTTTAATTAAACAAATTAAATTGTAGAATTAAAAAATTAACAAAAAAATTTAAAATTATATCATTAACTTTGAGCCGAAATTATTGAAAGCCACCACCACCATGCATAGTCTGTAGCCGACACCGAGGTCGCTTACCTGGTCGTTGACTTCGGCTTTTTCATTTTTATTTTTCCTTAAATTCCAATTATTCCCCAATTATTATTATTTTTATTTTTGACCCTCTTTTGAGTTCGTAATTCCACGTAGGATGCTGACGTGTTTAGCCTTCCACATTAAAAAAAAATTATTGCCTCTTTACCTATTTGTCTAATAAAGTTGTGTTATTCACGTAAATGTAAACATAGAAATAAAGTAAAAAAATAAATTGACATTTTGTTTTCGGTATATATATAAATATTAATAATAAAACAGTTAAATTATATAAAATAGGAAATTTGTTTCCAAAAATAGTTTTTTTTTTTTCTGTTACGTATACGTTAAATTATTTACAACATCATTCACGTAAATTAAAGATAGTTATTAATATTTATAAATTGATTACGCTAATATATTTAATGGTATTTTAAAAATAAATAAATGATAGCGTGGAAAAATATCTAATTAAGAATATTATCATAATAGGGCTGATTATTTTATACAATTAAATATAAAAATGTTCTATTTTTTTCTACCGTGTTAAAATTTTCATTAACGTGGGAGAAAACAATGATACAAAATTAGTTAGCAAAACGGGATCTATTTCTACTTGTACTTATATTTTATCTAAGCAGATATATTGCATTTTTTACTTTCTAGCTTATAATAATATTTTTTCAACGTGATTTTCAATTTTGTTTTAATTTATTATCCCGAGTTCTAAAATTTAATTATAAAAATGGAGCTAGAGACTGGAGTATACGTTCTATGGCCCACAATTACATCAATTTGACTTACCTAGTTAAAAGCGGAATTGTGATATATATATATATATATATATAATTAGGAAGGACAACCTTTATTACCATTATAAAATGTGGTCCTAGCATTCTAGGTGGTAGTTGTACCATACAAACGGAGTTTAATTTTTGTACTATTTGTGTTGCTGGACGGCTGACGTGGATTTTTCCAAAAATAATTAACACTATTTACTTAATTTCATGGTTAAATTAATATATATATTATTTAAAAAAAAATATTCAATAAAGCTTCTCAACTTTTTACAAACATTTAAAATATCATTTATTTTAATCGTTTAATTTTTTTATTAATATTTTATTAAAAAGTATTTTCATCCTAGGTTATTTTGAATATTTTAAAAAATTATATAAAAGATAAATTAATAAGATAATATTGAAATTTTATAAAATTATTTTCTATTCATTTTTAAGATAAAATATAAAATTTATGAATATTTTTTTATTAATTTAATGGAAATTATTTATTTTAGTTCATAAATTATATTCAATTTACGGTAGGACGCTTCATTTCCGGTCGATTACTTCAATTCGTGGCGGAATACTAATTTTATTTATTTATTTATTTATTTATTTATTTATTTATTTAATTTTGTTGTTAATCATGGCGGTGAGGATTGAGGAAGAAGCCATGCAATTTGGAAGTCTCTAAAACTGGGAGGTCAGTGGCGATCGAGAAATCGAGGATCGTAGTGGAAGTTTGAGAACTTATCCATCGGGCTTGATGGAGAACGGGAAGCAAGGCGCCGTGGAAGAGATTTTGCTGCCGAAGCAGAAGGAAAGCAATATCTCGAGGGAAGCTTTTCTTGAAGAGGTGAAGAGAGTGGGATTCTTGGCGGCGCCGATGGTTGCCGTCACTTTGTCGCAGTTTTTGTTGCAGATGGTGACGATGATGATGGTCGGTCATCTCGGAGAACTTGCTCTCTCCAGCAGCGCCGTAGCCATTTCCATTTCTGGAGTTACAGGCTTCAGTGTTCTCGTGAGTAATGATATTTTGTTTCGTTCTACGTTTTATTCTGTGAAGATTCTTTATGTACCTCTCCATCTGTTGGTACAGGGTTCAGGTAAATTAGCGATATATAGTTTAGAGGTTAAGGCTTAATCTTTTGATTCTCGTCATTGAAAGTATATCCGTTCGCATGCGTTTCGTTTTTCCTTTGCTTTTTGTTTTTGTTTTGTTTCTTTAACGGTATTTTTTTGTTTGTTTTCTTTTACCTTTCGTTGAATCAAAGAATTATTGTCGGAGATGATGGATCTGAGCAATTTGTCTTTTGTCGAATTTGAATATCTTTTTCGCAACCCTACCAACATTGGGGATAAAATGCAGGACTCATCTCAACCCTTCGATTAAGGTTTATCTTCAAGAAAATAATCATATTGAACAATTTTCATGAGTCTATTCAACATATCTGCAAGAATGATTCTAAGTTAGCAATTAGAACTGCGGACTGAGGTTTTTGAACATTGATGCCATTTTGTTTGCCTTTTTTCTGTTTTCATTTAAGAATGGATTCAACCCACATTATTACTGGAACAAGCCACTGTCATACTGCATCAATGTCAATGTTTCTTATGGCTAGCATAAACGTAGGCCTGAAATTTGAAACTACAAGAACGTTGAAGACTACTAAAAATGCTCTGTCAGAATACTAATGTCTAATCCCATGTTATATACCCAATAAAGTTAGTCAACTTCAACTGTAACTTTCTTAGCCAAGTTATCATGCTAAATTCATTTGTTCTTGTTCCAATAACTGGCTGGACTTTTACCTTGTTAAAAAACAGTTGGGCTTGTCCAGCGCCCTCGAAACTCTATGTGGACAAGCTTATGGAGCTCGGCAATATCAAAAACTTGGAACTCAGACCTACACTGCTATATTTTGCATCTTCTTATTTTCCATTCCTATATCCCTATCATGGATTTTCTTGGAAAAGCTACTTATTTTCTTCGGTCAAGATCCTCGGATTTCGCACGAAGCTGGGAAGTTCATTGTTTGGCTGATTCCTGCGCTCTTTGCTTGTGCATTTCTTCAACCATTGGTGAGATATTTCCAGGCACAAAGTTTAGTAATCCCCATGGTCATTTGTTCTTGTATCACTCTCTCCTTCCATGTACCATTTTGTTGGTTCATGGTGTACAAGGCTGAACTCAGAAATCTGGGAGGAGCATTAGCTATGAGTTTGTCATATTGGCTGAACGTGATTTTGCTAGCATTATACATGATATTTTCACCAAAGTGTGCGACAACCCGTGGAGTCATTTCTATGGAGATGTTTCGAGGAATTCAGGAGTTCTTTAGCTTGGCAATTCCTTCTGCGGTGATGGTTTGGTGATTTATTATCTGTCTTTTTCTGTTTCTTAAATCTTGAATCATAGCATCTTTTTACTTTGAACAGTTTTTTCATAAATAATAGTTTAATGTCTATTGTTGCAGCCTCGAATGGTGGTCATTTGAGCTGCTTATCTTACTTTCAGGGTTGTTACCAAATCCGGAGCTTGAAACTTCAGTTTTATCTGTTTGGTATGTCTGCTCTATCACATAGTGAATACAGAAATGTTGCTAAATTTCTTCTGTAAGCTTCGGGTTACTAGACTGAAAACAATATATTCACAGTTGCCTCTTTTTAACAGTCTCAATACAATTGCTACACTTTATTCGATACCATATGGACTTGGTGCTGCAGGAAGGTATGCTATAGAGATGTGGACATGTGATTAACTGTTTGCATTTATAGATCCATACTTCAGCTGTCAATGATATTATCCATTAAATGATGTTGTTACTTGATAAGTAAGTCTTTGGATCATTAGCTGGTTGAAATTGTAGCATTTGACTCTCATGAGATTGAGTAACAAGACAACTAATTTTATTGACTAAACTGCTTAAAGTTTACACAATATGAAGTGATCTAAGTAATTGCGAGAATAACCAGATAGTATAGTAACTAGATTTTGATTCCTTTATTAATTTTTTTTTTCTTTGACGTATCTTTTTCCAGTCTCATAAGAGCTTTTTTTTTTTTTTTNCCCCCCCCCTTTTCCAGTCTCATAACAGTTATGTGATTTATACTTGACATAAATGATAAAAAAGGAATCTTTCATAAAAGGTATTTGCAATTTAGGGGTCCAAGCCTTGAAATTAAAGGTTCAGGATTGATCATATAAACAGCAAACTAAAAAAGAAAATCAGACTTTGAAAGGATATTAGATATTCAATTGAGTATTTATATTTTTCTTAACAAGAAGCACAAACACTTTAGTTTGGCTTGTGTGTCTGCGTTTGACATGACACTCCGACTCTTGGACATGTATCAGACACTTATTAGCACAATATATGTGTTAGACACTGGTTGTATAAATTCAATATATGTTCAACATTTGTAGATGCATATCAGACACGTTTTGATACAGAAATACATCAAAATCATATTCTTGAGCATATAAATGTACAAACTCATGGACTTAAAGTTTCTTTTAATATAAAAATGATAATATTTTTTAAAATGTTAAATAAATGTTTTTTTTTGTTGGGTCTGGGTTTTAGATCTTTACAAGGCGATGTGTCACAGATTTTGTGACGTGTCGTTTCTGTGTCTCGTATAGGTTTTTGTACTCCATATTTTCTTAGCATAATTTACCATCAAATTTATATCATTTATTATCTTCCCGAAAAGTAGGAGAATCCATCCTTCTGTGATACATTTTCATTAATTGTTGATGTCACAGCACAAGAGTCTCCAATGAACTAGGTGCTGGGAATCCGCAAGCGGCTCGTCGGGCAACAAGCGTTGCTATATTCCTTGGCATTGTGGAAACCTCAATATTGACCTCAACCCTTTTTGCTCTTCGTCGTGTCTTTGGTTATGCTTTTAGCAATGAGAAGGATGTTGTGGATTATGTGGCCTCCATGGCACCTCTGGTTTGCTTATCCGTGATATTTGACAGCATCCAGGGAGTCCTTTCAGGTTAAGCATCTCTACTATAAAAAACTAAATGCTTCGGTGAAATGTTATCAGATTCAGATAAAATTACTACTAGTTTTAAAAGTTAAATATTTATTAAAAAGGATACCTAAATTCATGTTAGCTTATAATGCTCTACAGTCCTTTTGAGTAGAGCTAGATTTAATTTTGGTCTAGACTCGACAAGTGAACAATTCATCATGAAGCAAGCGACAGTTGACAGTGTGGAGAGTTGATCTGAAAATTATTCAATTCTGGTCAAGTATGTTCATCTGTACTTATTTCGAGTACAAGTAGTTGCAAAGTTGAAATGTTGTTTACTTAACCAGGCGTTGCTAGAGGATGTGGATGGCAACACATTGGTGCTTATGTAAACTTGGGGGCCTTCTATCTTTGTGGGGTTCCAGTTGCTGCAATTCTTGCTTTCTTGGTGCACCTGAGAGGAAGAGGCCTTTGGATTGGTATACAAACTGGGGCTTTTGTGCAAACGGCGTTGCTCTCCTTCATTACCAGCCGGATAAATTGGGAAGAACAGGTACGTCTTTCTCCCTCAACTCTCTGCTCTAATTACTGATGAGAGCCTTGTTTTTTTTGGCTTTACGGTATCATTAATAGTTTGGATAGGTCAAATCATGTCATCTCTATTATTTTTTTCTTACAATTTTCTAACTCTAATTCCTGATGAGTATTCTGTTTCTTAGATTTATGGCATCATTAATAGTTTTAAAGGCCAAATCTAGTTATCTTAATTATTATTATTCCTACTATTTTCTAAATTAATGACTTGAAGATTCGTGATGGAATCTTCTAAATTTGAAGACATTTGGGTAGCATCTTTAGCCATTCATTAATGAGGCAGCTTGAGCTTGAACACTATAATGTAATTATTGTTATTATTTAATCAAATTCGTTAAAACATAATTTTGAAGAACTCGTTTTAAAATTTATTGCCAGCAGTATTAAATTTGAACATTTAAATGTATAAGAAGAAATTACTGAAATACTATTTTATCCTTTTAAAACTCTTCAAAACTACATTTATTTAAACTCTTTACTTATATGGTCAATTATTGTTTAAAAACAAAAAATAGGAATTTAGAGAGAATCTCCATAGATGCTTAGCTTGTGTAGGGTTATTGATATATTGGTTAAGGTAGGGTGAATGGCATGAATTGCTATGTATGACATTGCAGATATATACACACAGACACTATTGGATGCACATATTTTAGGATATTCTCATGGCTATATTTCATTATATTTGCAGGCAAGAAGGGCAGGTGAGAGGCTTTCTATTTCCGAAGGCAGTTATTCAGAAGATTATGGATTTATTTGATCGGAGAAAACAGATCGGATTTTTATCTTTTTTTTTTCTCTTTGTTTTAATCGAGTAAAGCTATGGTAAGAGATCTTGAGACAGTCCACTTTTTTTGTGAAAAATTTAGAACTTATTAAAAGAGTTGGGGTTGCATGATTCAAATTTGACCTTTCAGTTACTCATATGTTACAAATTTTAGGTTCACTTTTTTCTTTTAAAAAAAAAATTAAGGATCTTTTATTGTCTTTTTTTTTTTTTTTTTTTTTTTTTTTTTTTTTTTTTTTTTTTTTTTTTTTATAATTTTAGAGAATTATTTTTAGATCTTAAATTATAATTAGTTTTAGTTTGGGGCTTAAATAGTCATTCATGTTGTTTCATGTTAGAGTTATTTTGGTTAAGTTATCTTATAAAATAATTTGAATTATAAGTTTTTTCGCAATTTTGATTTGATAACATTCTTAGGGTTCTTGAATAATTTAGATTTAAAGTTAGATCAAAAGTTGATGATGAAGGTAATTTTTTTCAATTCTTGACAACGTTCTTAGTTCTTGAATAATTTAGATTTAAAGTTGGAGGAGAGGAGAAGTTATGGGATGGTTTTCACACCCTATACCCTTTTTCCTTTTGGGCCTCCCTTCAAGGCTTTAAAATGCGTCTACTAGAGGAACCTTCTAGACAGGCTTTAAAATGCATCTACTAGGGGAAGGTTTCCACACCTTATACCCCTTTGTTTTCACACCCTATACCCCTTTTGAGCTTTCCCTCAAGGTTTAAAAATGCGTCACTTCCCACACCCTATAAGGGTGTTTTGTTCTCTTCTCCAACCAATGTGGGATATCACAATCTACTCTCTTTTGAGGCCTAGCGTTCTCGCTGACACTCATTCCTTCCTCCAATCGATGTGGGACCATTACCAAATCCACCCATTTGGGGCCAGCGTCCTTACTGACACATCGCCTCGTGTTTATCGATGTGGGACCACTACCAAATCCATCCTCTTTAGGCCCTAGCGTCCTTACTGACACACTGCCTCGTGTCTACCCCCTTCGGAGAACAACAAGAAGGCTGACATACCGCTAGCCAATATTATTGCGTCAATTTAAATTTAACAATTAAAATTTTTTAAATGCTTCAATCAATTTGTTACAAAAATTAAGGATTAATTTGTAATAAATTTTAAATTACAAGAGCTAAATTAATCTCATTAGTTTTGAATTTTTTAAAATTGTATTTTTTTCAATGTATCAATATATATATATATATATATATATATATATATATATATATATTTTTTTTTTTTTTTTTAAAAACTTAAAATAATAAATCAAATAGGGACGCCATTTTATTTTATTCTCTTAGAAAAGGAAAACCCCCGCAAATAAATACGCCTTTTTCAGGCAATCGTAAAACCCCAGCTTTCCGTCTTCGACTCTCTCAGAGCTTCATCACTCTATCAATCAAGTTCCCAATCTCAGAGAAGACACTCACCGATTGTGATGGGGAAAGCGGATAAAGAGCGACTCATCCGAACTCTCAATTCCCATCTCAATACCATCCATGAAACTTTTCAGGTTCGATTTTCATATAATCTTCTGCTTGTAGAATTGCATTTGTATGGAGGTTCAAACTTCCGATATGATTTCTCTTCTCGTGTTTTGACTTGTAGATGTTGGATCAAAATCCATCTTCTTCCCTTGAAATCGTGAAGTGGGAGGATGTTGTAAAAATGGGCGACCAAGTCTACAAGCAGGCGAGTGTCGGTAGGTTTCCGTTTCGTTTATAATTATTCTTGGTATTGCTAATCCTGTTCTGCAACTATGGGGATGGGAGAGTTGAATAGATGTATTATTAAGCTGTAAGTTGTTGATTGTAATTGCATTTCAGCAGGATTCTCAATTTTGATGTTTTGATTTGAGAATGTGTTTATCTTTATGTCCTACGGATTTCTCTAATGACAAAGAATTGGAAGAGATTTTTAAAAATTGTTTTTATGTTCCTAAACTTGGTTGCTTGCAGTTGATGGTTCATGGCACGAATTTAATTGGTTATATCTTTGTTTTTGCCCTGTAGCTGGAATGGTGTGGACTGGAGAGAGGCTAGAAGTTAAAGCAATTGAGGAAAACATGGCAGCTTATTTCAACACGCTGCAAGGTTTCCTCCTGGTTTCCTTTGGGAGTAAAGTGGGTGCTGGCCCTACTCTGTCTTCTGTTATCCATGCAGCTGTTAAGCAAGTAATTGATTCCAGTTTTAGGTTATGGAAGGAATCCGTCTCCTTCTATGGTAAATTACTCTTCCCCTACTTTCCATTATAAATTTCGATCTAAACTTTCGTCATTAGGTTATCCCACATCGATCTGGAGAAGGGAAAGATCCTGTGAATTTTCTCCTGAAAGAATTTAGAGAAGGAAAAATTCTGAAGGAATAAGTGGTTTATTGTTTGCTGTTTGCTGTCCCATTTTCTGCCTCAGGACACCTTTGACAGATAGATAGATCTTTCTGTACATTGTCACTGAGTTTTGTTTAATTCACGGTTTTCCTGTATCTACCTGGCTCTTGATGTCGTTTCGATTGAACCTAACAAATAGTGATAAAGAATGTTAACATCATAAGTTTTGTATGATGTTGTATGTATTGGGAGTTGAATTCTGGATTAAAGTAAACTGATGCTTAATTAAGTTTGTCGGTGGGATGGGATGTTAAGTATTGTTGAGAGAGAGTCTCACATTGGCTAATTACGGGGATGATCATGGGTTTTAATCAAGGAACACTGTTTCCAAAGGTATGAGGCCATTTGGGGAAAACAAAACCAAAGCCATGAGAGCTTATGCTCAAAGTGGACTATATCATACCATTGTGGAGAATCGTGATTCCTAACATGGAAGAGGATGGATTAGTTGAACACCCACGATATAAGTAGGAGTACTCTTGAGTTCATGTTAAAGTAAATTATCTATTACAATATCATGGAGGTAGAAATGTTTTACTTTTCCAACTATCAGAAGTTTCCATCATCAAATTTTGATGATAGGGTTAAATTCAGTCACATGTTCTTGTGAGTTCCTTTTTGCATCCAGCCAAATCATAATCTATGTTGTTTGAGCTCTACAACAGTACTCCTAAATGCAATTTCGTTTTTCTCTTTTGATGACACTGAGTCAACATTCTTTCAGGATCACAGAATAATAAAGACCAAACCCAAGTAGTTCCACAATTGGTTGGTGCGGTTTGGGATGCTTGCTCTGCCCTTAAGAAAACTCCTTCCACAAATATAACTGCAATTGGCCGAGCAATAACCCAGGTAGCTGTGTCGGTGAAGGACGTCCTCCGAGAGATGAAGGATCTTAAACAAGGTTCCTCTGACTTGGATGAAGCTCCTGAAGAATCTTCTAGCAAAGTAGAAGGTGATACACAAGATGATGGTAATACAAGCGACGATGCCGATATAGGTAACGATTTGTCAGCCGACGAGATGAGAGTTGCTCAATCTGCCATGAGTGTTGTTTCTTCAACACTTCTAGTTATAAAGGAACTCATCCGCTCTATCACAAGTTTGCTCAAGCTGGAAAATGCAAACATTCAAAGTAACATAGCGTCCTTGGAGAATCTATTGAAGCTATGCCAAGGAATAGGAGTGCAGGTGGACGAGCTTGGAGCTTGTCTTTACCCCCCACAAGAGATCCCTGCCATTAAAGCAGCTTCTGAAAAAATTTCTAGCTTTCTTGACAATATGCAGGCAGAGTTAGGAAGTCTTAATGGTAATTCAGAAGGCTTTCTTCAGGCATGCAACGATCTGCAAAATTCATGTAAACAGCTCGAGACCGAACTAAGTGGCTCCACGGCTACTGATATAGAAAGTCGAATGGAGAATGTGACTTTAAGCAACTGAAGGAGATTATGTGATATTATCTCCAGCTCACACAACTTATTTCTGATTCAATTGTCAGCGGAGGGGGTTAGTATATTTTGATTGTTTTGGTGTATGTGGATAGCCATATTTACATCCAGTTTTGTTGCAATATTGGATCCATTTTTTGTCACTATCTATTATTGTGTACTTCTTAAGAAATTCCATATTTTTACTGTGACAAACGAAGTAATTTAGAAAGATCATTTGGAGAATACTCCTTTCTTGTCACAATCTGTAAATGTGCAGGATCCTCTCAGAGATGTAAAATTAGGGTTGAATCCGCGGATCCGCCCTTGGAGCGATGGTATAAGAAGAATTTGGTCATCGCCTTGAGAGCTTGACCACCATCCAAAAAGGGAGCTGCCAGAAGCACCTGAGTTAAAGGGTCTGTTGACGGTTTAAGTACAGCAGCTTCCACCACTGCACCAACCACAGCGTATCTCCAAAATTGAAAGCATTTGGCTTCTTTGACACCTGCCGAACTGCTTGCACATATTGTCTTTTTTGTGCTTTCTAAGGAGAAATTTTTACTCTTATAAAAAATGTTTCGTTCTCTCCAACTGTGTGGGATCTCACAGTATGATTGAAACCTATACATACGATGATGCACAAAAAGTTAGTTCCACGGAGTTGAATTTGGTTTCGTAAGTTTTGGAGGATTCAAAATGATAGATCCTTTTCCAAGAAGGAATCAGTGTTATATATAGCCATTATTCATACAATTCAAAACAATAAATTTATTTAAAATTACTATAGTTTTTTTGCCATAGAGCTCAAATGATAGAACTCAAATGATACAGTTGTACAACCTAAAAAATAGATCATGTTCGATCATGTTCATCACCTTCGGGTAAGGTTGTAATTTTTCCATAATCATAATCACAACTACAATCAAAATTTCCTCATACATAAAATCTTGAAATCTTTCACCCCACTCGGCACATTACATTTGAAGTTGGCATTTGCTTTAGCTGCTCGAACTAAACACTCCCAAGCCAACAAAGTGTCATTCTTGTATTATAAGTCAATTCGAGCCTAACTTGTTAGATAAGGTACTACATATCATTGGAAAGATCGACAGCTTGATCTTCAATCTCAGAATTATTGAATTCAAAAAATTACACGACCATTTAAGTGGATAATCAATAATCTATGAGCCTTAGGCATGGAATACAATCTTCCCTCTCCCCAAAGAAAAAATCTCCCAAATGACATAGAAAGTTGTGACTCTTCTTCTACCCTAATGGAAAACCTAATGCTATCTACAAAGAACATTAAGAAAAAGATGTACAATATGAATGGGAGTCCCATGAAACTAAAAAATTTATTTTTCTCTCTTTTTTTGTTCTATGAAACAATGAAGAAATCAATAAAAATCATTTCCACTTTTTCCTGGAAACAGATAGGTGAAGTTGGGAGGTCCAAAGAAGCAGGAATAATACAAGGGAAACTCCAATAGATATCCAGAAATGCACCAACCAAGATGGCATTGGTTTGGGATATAAACCTAAAATAAGAACACACAACAAAGGAAACGTATTGGTAATATCATCAATGAACAATAAGAACAAGTTTGTAATAAGATGAAGGAGCAAACCATGTCCAAATTTAACGCAAATTAGAAGCTCAACCACGCAAATGGCTAGAGACAGCCAACAAAATGCTCCAATCTTCTTTACAGGTTTCCTGGAATACAGAGTACAGATATAGATCAAATTTCCATCACAGTTTCTATACAGTTTCTATACAGTTTAGTCTCTCTAACTTTTCATGTTTTTATATATTTAATTCTTAAACGCATTATTTTGTATCTAATATGTTCTTAAACTTTAAAAGATGTCTAGGAGATCCTTCAACTATTTTGTGTCTAATAGATTCCTAAATTTGTGTATGATAGATCTTTGTTAAGAACTTATTAGACATTTTGTCGGATCTATTGGACACTTTTAAACGTTCAGAACTAGATAGATAAAAACGTAAAGTTCAGAGATATTTAAGCTTCAAAGATTCATAATCCTGAACAGAGAAAACAGGAGGGAGGGGAGAAAACCTGTCTTGAAGGTAAACGTTGTACTCGCGAATTGTTGGTATGGCAATAAGCCACCATAAAACCAACCTGTATACTATTACAGGGTTTCTAGGAGGAATCCATAGACAGTACTTCAAAAAGAATGTGTTAAGCTCCACTGTCAAGAAAACGATGCAAAGAGCAAGAATTTGAATGAAACGCCATGGACCGAGTAAGGGATGCCACTCATCTTTATCCCACTGTGCTGGCGTGAACTGTCCCAAGCTCCGTTTCACCTGCAAATAAGACTACGCACTATTAGATCAGAGCACGAGTGGTATGGATGAAATCCTTTCAGCGCAACACGAGATGTACCCGAAAATGATGATAGTTGATCAAAACAAGCTCAGTATTTCCCCTCAACCCAGAAACAATGGCCATATACAGTTGAATATGTACTCTGAAATAAGTGGAAATGAATGCAAGACTTACTTTCCCAATAATATTAGGCTGTCGACTTAGACCGACCCACTTGTATGTTTTCCCGTCGAAATATCTGACAGTACGCATTCCTGCCCATATTCCTGCAAAGCAAATAACAGAACTGAACAAACACAAACACCAGATTTTGCTCATAGGCTTTATAAAACTGGAATCTTTAAGACAATAGCTAGAAGGCAATAACTGGTCAGCCTCAACTTCCAATTTGCTAAGAGCTCTTCAGATAATGAAGCGCTGGTCGGTATAGCTGTGAGATCCCTCGATTGGAGAGAGGAACGAGTGCTAGCGAGAACGCTAGGCCTCAAAGGGGGGTGGATTGTGAGATCTCACATCGGTTGGAGAGTAGAACAAAACATTTTTTATAAGGAGTGGAAACCTCTCCATAGCAGACACGTTTTAAAAACCTTGAGGGGGAGCTCGAAGAGGATAATATTTGCAGGCGGTGGGCTTGGGCCGTTACAGTAGTAGTGGGTAGGACTTTCATTCTTATCGACTTCGGGTTTCGATCTATATGACCTTCAGGCGGTACAAAATCAACCTCTTCCGTAGAGACAGACAGATAGTAACATAACCTTTAAGAGTCTGTTCAAGGGGAGCCCTCTATACTCCCTACTCATCAGAGTTATACTAAAATCATTACTCTGAAGTTTGATAACATTAGACAATTAACTCGGAGTAACTTGGAGTATTCCCAAATCACTACTAGAGTTCACTACTAGAGAGTACTCCAGATAACCTAGTATAAGCAGGTCAATTTGCATACAGCATCTGGCTGATCAAGAGCAGCCATATTAAATCCATGTTTGCAACTCTCTCCACAGTTTCCCCATGTCATGGGCTTATCAGACTCATGGAGTATGGCTTACCATGTACAAGGGGTGTACACCCAATCCGAGAATCCGAGAATCCCACCAACCCAACTCGAATTATAAGAGTTGAGTTGGGTTGGATTGGATTTCGGGTTTCGGTTGGGTTCATTTTTTAGAACCTGACTGATGGCATGTACTCATCATACACTAACAAAACAGGTAAGACCAGTTGGCACACAGGAAAAAACTAACTAAAGAAGAATCGATATCGACTTGAACGGAAAACTTCAAGCTGAATGGCCTCAGAACAGTTATCGATCCCACCAGTCCAAAATTGAGTTCATGTTCTTTTGTTAATCTAGACTTTCAACAATTGAAAACCATATCCACATCATAGCTAGATCATCAAGATGAAGCAAAGCATTTTTCTCTGACAAATCCATAACTGGGGGTTCGTTCAACACTCTTATAGATAAAAAGATAAACTCATAAAAGAGCATCAATATACATACACCCAATTTATTTCCAATTCCAGGTTTTAGTACGAGTGAGGAACTCACCAAACCAATTGCAAATTAATATGTCAAGAATGATACTGTCCCACCAGCATTCGTTGAAATTCGGTAGCATATGCCGGAAAGTAAGCTAAACAATAAGAGAAAAATTAATGTTAAACGGCCGACTTGAGCAAGAAATCGCACTAAGTCAATGATAAACAATACCCGAATTTAAGAATTCATTGAATTAGATTTTAGAGGTGTTCATGAATTGGGTTGGATCGAGTTACGATATTTTCTAAACTCAGCCCAATTGTTCGGGGTTTAAATTATTTCAACCCAAGTAACCCTTATTAAATAATGAACCTAGCTTCACCCAACCATAAAACATTTTGGGCTGAGTTTATTCAAGTCATTTATATTCACGTTTTTGTTCTTAATAGAAGTAGAACGTAAATACATAAAATATCTAATTATTTATTTTCAAACATTAAATAAAGATTTAAAACTTAATTTCAATATATATTTTGAAAAATTACATTCCAAAGACTTAGAAATTATTTTAAGAGTGGTTGGAGAATAAATACTCGAGAAAAATAATTACAAAACTAAATAAAATTAAAAATAAAAGTATGTATATATAATTATATTGTAAGCACAAAATAATAATAATAATAAATTCACGTTAATTTTGTTCAACCAAATTAATTTAGAAGAATCTATAACCAACTCAACTCATAAAGTTTTCATTTATTTGAGCGTTTGGGTTCGTGGATTATAAACTTTGACAGATTAACTAACAGTCTCATAAATTTTTTTTTATAAAAAAACTAACCTCCATTAACTCGAACCCGATTGATAGTACCCATAGAAGAGGCTGATTACGGATGAGTATAGCCTTACCCCACCATCCAATTATGTGAGCAGCAACAAATTCATCAAACAATGTTGCCTGAGTGAGCAAACGTAATCAGAAACATGAAGAACCATGTAATTATATACTTATAAATAAAGTTAAAGAAGAAATCATACATAGACATTCTTAAACCTGTTTGTGGGATTTTCGGGAACAAATATCCGACAATCTGAACCATACGATCTCTCGGGAAGCTCTAAAATTCATGTATAAGAACAAAGAACATATTTAGAAATGCACCTGAAGAACGGACGCCATTAGACAAACACCCATTAACTACGAGCAAAACTTATTACCAAGGCCTAGATCAGGATGGAGAAATTTCATGAATTCCCGAGCATCGTCACGCTTCTGAAAATAAATCTACGGATTAGAAAATACAGTATACAGAAGAAATCAGTGATATTGAAGCTAACACTCTGAGTCTGTATCTTCAATGGTGAGTGGCATGAGAGTAGCTAGATGGTTTTATCAAGGAATTAGACGCAAAATATGAACAATCCAAGGGTATACATGTGAGATCCCACGTGAAGGGAACGAAACATTCTTTATAACGGTGTGGAAATCTCTCCCTGGTAGACGCGTTTTAAAACCACGAAACTGACGGCGATACGTAACAGGCCAAAACAGACAAGATCTACTAAAGGTGGACTTGGGCTTGGGCTGTTAAATATATATATATATATATATGTGTGTGTGTGTGTGTGTGTGTGTATGTATATATGTATGGTTAAGAATCCATGAATTCCAGAA